TAAATAACACCTATATATATACCTTTACTTACTTTATAATAGATATTAAGGTATCTTTATTAATATTAATAGCTAGCTATTTCTTTTATAAAAAAGCGGTAATCTTATTACTATTATAAAGTATATACTTATAAAGCTTTTAAAAATAAAGTATTTACTTATAGCCCTATACTACCTTTATTAACTAGCTTATATACTTACTATAGTTAGTAAGTATAATTATAAGGATAGGTAGCTTTTATAAGGCTAGCGTAATTAAATTCTATAGTTATATAATCTTTATACTATCTTTTTATACTATAGCTCTTATTATTTATAAGAGCGTTTCTTTAAAATTAAAGAGGAATTTACTAAAGGTCTACCTATCCCTTTACTTTAAGGTCTATAGCCTATCTTATACCTTCTCTTACTCCTATATATTACTAAATATATATATAAGGTATTAAAAAAAGTCCTATAAGTCGCGTTTACCTTTAAGGCTACCTTTATCCTAAAATCTTAAGATCTATTATATTTAAGGCTTTAGTAGTATATAAAGGAGTAAATACTATACTATACTATAATAGCTATTTAGGCCCTATTTTTTATTAGTTATAAACTTTATCTATAGTTAGCTAAGGAAGAAATAAAACGACTCTAGCTTATTATCTTAAGTTAGCTAAGGGAGTAGGCTTTATATTAATAATATCGCTACTATAACTAGCGTTAAAAAGGTTATAAGGGTAACGCTAGTCTCGTAGATAGCTCCCTTAGTATAGTAAGAACCTTATCTTTCTCGCTAGCTATTATACTTTTAACCGCTTTTAAGATAGTTATAATACTTCCTATTTACTTAGTAAGGGGTAAAGTACTCCCTTAAGGAAGTAGTACCTTTTTTAGAGAGATATCTATTAAATCTATTAATTAATAGCTTATACTATTATAAAGTAAGTAAAGGTATATATAAGTACTATTTATAAGATAATATTAATAAGCTATATAAAGCTCTTTTATATACGGCTAGCTTATATATATATATATATATAGGATCTAGCCCTCTATATATAACTATATAGCTTAGGCTATAGCTTAAGCTTATAGCTTATAATAGTTAAAGACTTTTATATAAAGGGTATAAAAAAGGCAAGCTTTTTTAAATTATACCTTTAATAGTAGGAGGGCTACTTTAGCTCTTATAGCCTTAATAAGGGATCCTTTAAAGGCCCTTAGGACCTTTAAAAGAGCCTAGTTTTAAAGCCTTTAAAAAGGCTTTATAAGGCTCTTAAGGGTCTTAGGCCCCTTATATTAAAGCTAGGCCCTATAGTTTACTATAAAGGTTATATAGGCCTAGTAGAGCTACCTAGACGCTTTAAATAATAGGCCCTTTTATATAGAAACTAAGTAGGATAGCCCTTTAAAGGTAGCTTATATAGAAGCTACCTTCTTTTCGATATATTATTTAAATAAGAGCCTAGAATTAAAGAAGACCCCTAGCTACTATATTAAGGGCTTTACTTTAAAGAATAGGCCTCCTACTATTATACCCTTTAAGATAAGCTGCCTTCGCTTACTAAAGTAAATAAGTTCTATCTTAGAAACCCCTAGTACTACTAATATAGAGCCTAGGTTATCGGGGTATATTAGGTATTGCGTTTATAACTAAGGGCGGGCATTATTAGTAATTTAGATCCCTTCTTTATCTCGCTAGGCGAAGAAAAAGTCAAGCTCGAATTAGCTTAGATATCGGATCAACAGCTTAGAGGGTAGGAAATAAAGTAGCTTACTTAGGTAGTAAGCGGTTAAGAGGGGATGGAAGCCAGTTAGAGATAAGCCTTATTTAGGAGGGGCAAGGAACGTTGATAGGCAAGGGCATCATGAATAGCCACTATACTGAGATATTTAGTGGATTATGGTCTACCTATTCCACTCGGGCAGCCAGTGGATTGAGTCGAGTGGCTTTCGACCCTGGGCTTCTTCACTTGCCAAGCGCTTTGGGAACGTTCGCGTAAGACTCCTAATCACCTCTTCTAATCATAAGGAATGACAGGGAGCTTACCGGCCGCTACCAGACAATGGTATTCACTCACCTTCCCTCCGCAATCTTCCTTGCCCTCAACCGGGTACATTTCCCTCATCCCTGGCTTCTTCTAGAGCTTAGTCTTAACCCCAGTTCGTGGACGTAGTGCTACACTCTCTCTTTCTAGTGGCAATCGTGCCGGCACAGGAGCGGACGGCTGTCATGAGTCTAATCATCGTAGTCAAGACGACGGCTCAGAATTTCGGTCCGCTAATAACCAGGTTTCTTACCAACCATGGCTTATTTCGTGTCATTAGTATCCGCCGACATTCTAAAAGCAAGCTATGATATAGGACTGCTTGTAGTCTTCGAGAACCATCAAGTAGGGAATGTCGAGCGCAGCAGAATTGCGGATCAGGGGAGAGTTGCGAATGAAGGTGGCGAGTGAGTGGTCCAAGGGAGACCATCAGGACCCCGAGCGAGTTCAATTCAAAGCATATGACGCCAAGAAAGGGGGCCCCGGTCCACTAAGGATTGACACCACTTTCGAGCAATATTACCATAATAGTTGGTAAACACACAGGTAGCATCGTGAAACATGAGTTTGTATTCAATATTGGCTAAAAAGCTGAAGTGCGAAGGCACGCTGTTCATATAGATGTAGTACTAGAAGCTCGGTAGTGACGAGGTAACTCAAGCTGAAGCCCCAGCTGATAAAATTTGACAGAAAAAATACAGAAAAAAATCCCTAGTCGTACTTATGGGGGCTCGGGGTCTCAGCATGGCAGACAGCCCTCCACTCCCCATCGGCGTCTTGCCTCCATGTGGTGCAGACTTGCAAATAGATAAATCATAATCAAATCAAATCAAATTAAATCAAATTAATCCAAATCAAATCAAATCAAATTGCCCCTGCGCTGAATCAAATCAAATCAAATCGCAACACCCAAATTTATTTGGATATCTGATTATTTGATACGCCCCACAATGGCGACCTGGGCCAATAGTTTTGGGGAGCCAGCCCTGCCTGGCCTAGAGTGGTCGCTAATTACGGGCAGTTGCTTTTCCAGGCCGTGTCACCAAGCTTTCTTTTGTGTTTTACCTGACACGTTTGATCGTGAAATATATCTTTGGGTGCATCTGCCATATTACGGGGAGATATTTGTAGCCGATGGCCAAAATGGGACAGCTCTGCACTTGACTGCTGCAATGGCGCATATGGGAGGAGTACCGAACCTCGCGGTCGAGCAAGATACGATACCCGAGGAGCCCACAGCTGCAAGGAAGACAACGGACCTAGATGACTTCATGACCTCAATTAGGAAACTTGGCGCCCAACCTGCGCCTCACCGTCCTCCATGCGTGACGAGTACGCAGAATGGGTGGGCAGTACCGATCCGGGCGATTGTCTTGTGGACAATCCCATCCAGTACTGGCTTCTCCGCAGACGCCAATATCCACGCCTGTCGCGAATGGCAATCGACCTCTTTTCCATTCCGGCGATGTCTTCAGAGCCGGAGAGAATATTTAGCCTTGCCGGACAGATGGCCGCAGCTCAGAGAGGCCGCCTCAAAGCGGACCTTATCAAAGCGGACCTTATAGGAGCGGCTCAATGTATTTTGTCGTGGGAAAAAAGTGGGGCTATCCAGATATCCAAATGAGATCCAAATCGATTCAAATCAAATCAAATCAAATCAGATCCATGATTTTGCTATCCAAATCAAATCAAATTGGACCCCGGATTTGATTTGATTTATCTATTTGCAAGTCTGATGTGGTGGCACATAGAGCTTCGTAATCTTTGCCTCCTCGGTCGGCACGAACGTGATAGCACACGAATGCTGCCATCAGGCCAACTGGAGTCACCCTCATTTCCGTGACATCGTATCTTGTCCACCTCTTGAAAGCCTTGGGATCCAAGACCCTTTCTTCTAGGGTGGGTTTAGTGTCCGACGAGAGTGGCGGACAGTTTGGAAAGTGGAGGACGCAGTCGGACGCGAGGAGGGGGAGAATGGCTTCACCGGGGTGTGCAGACGAGAGCCCTGCCCAGAGAGCATTTTCTTGAGTCTTGATGTCGGCCCTAACACGGTCGTAGAGATCAGGCATGGCGAGGGCTTAGTCTAACAGACTAGTAAGTTGAGCAATCGCGGATCATGACGCCAGACGCCTGTGAGATAATAAGGAGGGTTATTTTCTCAAGGGGCGCTTACTCTGAATCGCGCTAACCAGCTACGATGGATCAATCCAAGGGAGACTTTCGCGTCGAGGTATTGTAGAGCGGACCAAGATTTCGTTCGGCCTTTGCGTATGGAGTAGTTGGTCGAAAACGCGTAAAGCTATCCCTTTTATTTGATCTGGGGTCCCCAAACTCACGCTGACATGACATACATAAAGCTATGACGCAGCGGACGGGGTCATTCTGCCAACTTTCGTCGCATGCCGTCATGCAGTCTGACGTCAAATCCCCCTCCCCCGCCACGAACTGACGAGACACGCTACGTTACGTATGTACGGAGTAGAAAATACGTGATCAGACCAAGAAATTGATAAGGTCTAGGTCTCTCTCTGTCTCGTCGCCCCAACAGATGGGCCTTTTGTACCCCTCTTTGCCCCTGATGGTCCCTTCTCATAGTCCTACTTCTTCCTCAGGAGTACAAGTGCCAAGACGATGGAAGTGAGGTATGTACTCATAAGGTCGGCATTATATATGTAATGGACTAATAGTTATATACATACAACATGCAGTGGCAATCTACTCCGTAGCGATGTTGAGATCATAGGGACCCTGCCCTCGACGACCCTGTGGTTGGGCCCAATATGAAGATGGGGTGAATGTACTGTAGAAGCTTGTGACTATATGAAAGAAAACCCCACCAGTCATCGAGGACTATGATAAAGATGAAGACGGACCGACCCCTTTTTAAGACTCTGTGGCCTGCATGTGCACTATTCCAACACACAAGCTGCATTCCCCGTGGCCTGCTGTCTGCCCATATATTCATATTCACGCCTGGTCGCTCTTGAGAAGCTTCGAGAGACGCACTCTGCGTCACGTCGAACAAGCTGACGCCAGGCGTGACATTGGTCCCAAGCCAGTTGCGCAGCTCGACGGCCACTAGTGAATCCACGCCGTACGTCGACAGCGGCACGCCCGTTTCGATTCCCAAAGGAACGAGGGCGAGACTGTCAGCCAATCTCTCCCGCAGCGCCTCCACCACCGCAGCCTCACTTTGGGTCCCTCCCGCCGTGTAGTTGCTCTGGCCCATGTTTCCGACGACACTAGTCACCGAAGACAGGACAATGAAAAGGTCGACATCAGGCCCTGCAAACAGGTCGTCTAGGTTCTTGGTGTCTTGCACCTTGGGACCCAGAGCGCCCTTCCACTGTTCCCAGGTCATGGTATCCAGCATTGCGTCGTGCAAGGCGACGGCTGCCTGAACTACGCCTCGGACTGACTGGCCTCCTGTCGCGCAACTTACCTACCGCCTTGTCCAGCTTCGCCCTGTTGGAAATGTCGCAACTGCGCAATAGCACCTCGCATGGGGAGGCGCCCTAGAATCCATCCGTCCTTCACGTTCCGCCTTTTCCGGTCTGTCGTGCCTTTCATCACATCACATACGTACATAACGTACCTCACTGAGTCATGCAACGCACCACGTCATGCAACAAATTGCCCGACCGGCAAGCCAGAGCGAAAATTAATCCTGCAACCGACACAAACCATTTAAAATACTATTAAACATTACAATATGTGAAACACTTCATACAGAGTCTATCTATATGATGGTTTTCTTAGGAAATATGAGCAGGCGGTCTTGTGGTCCGCCCAGACCTGAGAGACTGAGAAACCGGCCTCCATACTTCCTGCGCTTCCGTCGAACGGGAGGTATGTCTTTACCCCTAAAGCTCCGGGACTGTGGTCTCGAGCCACTGAAGCTTCAGAACCAATCTTTACCCTTTCTTCCTCCGAGTTGTTGCGTGGTTGAATGCCCGTCGCGCAAACCCGCTTCCAACGCCCCTCGTTTTTCTCACCGCTACCATGTCTTTTGTGCCCTCTTACACCAGGCTTTGACGTAGCAGCTACCTCAAACTTGACTTCCCGAATAGCCTGGCGTTCAGCCTCGCGTGCAGACCTCTCTGCTTTTAATTTTGCTGCGGCCTCCCGTTTCTCAGCTCGCTTTGCCTCGCGCTCCGCAGCACGCTCTGTCTTCTCTCGAGAACGCTGCTCTCGCAAGGCCTGACGCATTGCAGCCCGCTGTTTTTTCTTCTCGGCAGATTCTCGAGCCTTTTCTTCACGTGATATGGCTACCTGGAGTCGACGATCTTCAATGGCTTGCTTGCGCTGCTCGTCGGCCTGTGCCTTGTCCGTCTGACGTCGCCGCGCCAGTTCCACCTTGGCTGGACTGAAAAAGACCGGCTGGCCACCACTTTCTTCCGGATTGAAAAGGCCCAAGGCCTTTCTGCGTTTCCCTTTTTTATGTGCAAGTTTGAGCGCTTCCTGTAGATCTCGATTTTCGTGTTGTACGAGCTCATATTGTGTCGCCAGTTTCTCTGATGCTCGGGAGAGCGCTGTGACTCGGGAGTCCATCAGCCCTTCCTTGCGGAGACGGCGGGTAATGCGCCGAATAGCCCGAAGAGAGCCTGGAGTCTTCATCGCCCTTTCCTCAGATGCAGTTTGTGGGGGTGTCACATCACTGCTGTGGCTAATCTTGGACAATACTTTGCCGGGGTCGAGTGGATGGATTCCTGTGGCCCGCCAACCAGCCTCGATATTTTTGGCCGTAAATGCCTGGTTCCACGCATCACGAAAGAGTGGCCAAAATTCCGTTTGGTAAGGCGAATTAACCCCATCCAATGGACATCAGCTGGTCGGAACCTTGAGCATAATAGGTGGAGAGTGCGGAAAACAGGCCAACATCGAGTGGTTGAAGCCGATGAGTTGAGTGCGATGGCAACACAGCAATGAGAATTCGATTCCGATCGGCATAGTCAATGAATTTCAGGTTAATGTGACTATTGTGACCGTCTAAAATTAAGAGACGGTAGGCACGACCAGCCTTTGCTTCGTATGGCAGTCAAATATGCGCTGAAGCCAGTGTAAACCCAGTGCATCACAGCTCCAGCCGTTTTCCGTACTGGCGAAGAAGGCTACTTGCTGGAATGGTCAAAATCCTCAAGCCAAGTATCTTGAAAGTCTTTTGACTCCCTTTGTAAATGAGGGCCGGTGGCGGTACGAATAATCTGCACATATGGCAGCGATCAGCGTGATGAACTCCCGGTTCCCGTCTTGGCTTGCCCTGACCAGTTTTCCGCGCCTGAGGGCTTCTCGGGGGACAACTCGCTTGGTGGAGCGAGAGAGACCAATTTGGAATCCCTTCTCGTCAAAATTATAAACATTTGAGGGACTGATGTTGTACTTTTCGATCTTTTCGCGGAGCTAGTTGGATTCGGTCAGAAATGGCGACTTTACGGCATTTGACCGAGTATTGTCGGCAGTATACCCCTTGAAATGACGATAAAAAGCAGTCTTACTAGATTGAAGAAGTTTGGAAATGCCTGAATTATCAGCAGCCTTCCGCTGATGATCTATGGTGCGCAAATACAAGCTCGAAAGACGGTCATGGTGTCGCTTGCGGAAGCGGCTCACCCAGTTGACACCAAGCTCTGTCCCTGCGATTTCCTCGGCGATATTCTTCAACATCTGAGGGTAGGCGGGATACCACGGTCGGTCAGCTTATTGACGTGCCCAATAAGAATCTCCTCCTGCGCGCTGGTGAGTTTCTGTCGCGAGTAAGAGTTCGCGTCGTGATTTGAGGCTGTTTTGCCTTTGAAGCGGCGCCACAGCGTGGATTTGTCGATATTGTATCTCCTCGCGGTCTCTGCATATTTAGGGCGATCTTGGGATTGCAGTTCTATAATTGCCTCTGCAATACGAGGGTTGTGATCCATATCGCGTCAATTTGAAGAAGACGCGTCAGGTGTTGAAAATTGTTGCATGACCTAGTGCGTTGCATGACGCAGTGGGGTACGTTATACATAGACCCGGATGCAAGACATACATGTCTCCGGTCTCACCCAATGAACAAAATTCGGGCGGGATAAGCTCCTAATTCGAGACCGCTAGTACCGGCCAGTACGGCAGGGTTCCTGACACCTTTCTCTGTACCCCTGCCTGCATCCGATCATCATCAGCCCGCATCCTCGTCTGATTGTCATAATACCAGCTTACTCCGTAGTTAGAACCCAGCAAAGTCTTTCAGCTTACGGAGTACTCGCGTCACCTTGACTCCAACTTCGCCTCAGCCTAATTACTAGCTGTAACTCACTTGACCTGGAGCTTCCTTTACAGAGCCCGCGGTCTCATCAGCATGTACTCGGAGGATGGGTAGCTCCACTTGTTGATCGAGGTCGTCTCTTCGAGTTGCAGATCAAAGGTCCGAACGAGCTGGAAGGATGATGGCAAGCCTGTCAGCAGACCATCCACGATTAGGCGCCAACCCTGGACGGGCATTGAACCCACCATGACAATTGCTTTGTAAAGAGCCATCAACCCGATGTGTTTCCCGAGACACTTTCGAACCCCCACTCCCCAGTGCACATCCATGCGGCCCCATTCCTGCAGCTGCTCTGCCGAGGCACTCAGCCACCGGTCAGGCAGGAATTGGTCTGCCTGGTCGCCGTAGAGATCCGGATGCCGGCCAATGGTGGCGCCGCTGGAGGACACCGACGTGCCGGGGGGGACGTACTTGCCAGCCAGGGAGAAGGGTTGCCCCGGCGGCGAGCAGCGGCGGCGAGGGAAGGTGGATGCGATGTAACGAAGCCCCTCGTTGACGCAGGCGGTGATGAATGGGAGACGCCGGGAGGCCTCGTACGCGGGGACCTTGCCGGAGAGACGGCCCTGCACGAAGGCCGCATCGACTTCCGCCTGAGCTCGATGAAAGATGGAGGGGTCATGGGCAATGAGAAAGACCAGGTTGGTGACCATGAGGGCAATGGAATCGGGGCCGGCCATCCTGTACGTGTGGTCAGAGGGGTTTCAGGTGTTGTCTCGGCCACCGCACACTCACATGTCCATGAGAAGCTGGTCCTCGATTTCTTGCAGCGGGATCTCTCGGTCGTTGGGCGGCGAAGGAGAGGCAAGCCATTGGTCCAACATAGAGTGCTCATACCGGGGCTTGCCGGCGCACGCCCGTCGCTGCTGAGCCACTTGACGGATTTCCTACATGGGAACCCGATGCGATCAACCAATGATGCCACGAACAGGAGTGACAGGGGCTTACCGCCATGAACAGGCCCAAGCCCCGGCGATCGGTTGGGCGGGAAACAAAGAGGCGCCGGCCCAGCGGGTTGTTTCGCGCGAAGGCTGCGATGGGCGGATACAGCGACAGCCGCTGCTGCAAGGCCGTTGTTTGCCCCATGTTGCGAATGAGGCCGCGGACATCCCCCTTCGCATCCATGAATCCCAACTGAATCCCCAGGGACATGGCGGCGATGACGTCGAACGAAAAGTATCTAAACAACCACAGTTGGCGGCGTGGCGTCAATCTCCACGGACTATTACGTTACCTGATCCACGCCCCAAGATCGACTCGCGGAGCTTTCTGCGACTCGGCTCGGAGACTCGACATCAACTGGGTGACTTGGTCGTCGAGGGCGTGCTCCGAGAGCTGAACGCATGGCAGAGAGTACTGTGGAAAGACAACCAAGCTTAGTAGACCTCGTCACCAACGGCGGACACGGTCTGGTCACGTACCGCATGGCCAAAGCGACGCTTGGCTGAGGCGTGGTCGGTGTGGGACTTTTTGTTGAAGACCGCGGTCGAACAGGAAAACTCCTGGTGAAAATCCGTCTTGTCGGCGTGTCTATGATAGACAGTGGTGATCATGGAAGGCTCGTTAAAGCAGAGGTGGTTTGGGCCGCATCGTACCACCGGACCTATATGACGGCACCAAGTTTAGCGGCCTCCTGGCCACAGGCCAACCGGATAGGATGCACTGCGCTACCGTATTGCTCATGGAGCTTGCTATACCACTCGCCTTCCTGGCCGGTCCAGAACATGTAGAATTGGTAGAAGCTGGTCAACGCCGGCAGCACGGGACCTGGGAATTGGCTTAAAGGGTGCCAGTAGAGGCGCCGGACGAGGAATAGCAGCACAATGAGCCCAAGGCTCAGTGATATGTGAAGACAGGACAGATGCTCCAACATGGCAAAAGTCGTGAAGCTACCACAACGTAGCAAGTCAAGGAACTATGGAGAGTGTGCTTTCCCAGTCAAGGTATCAGGGGTCAGGTAGAGCCGGGCGCCGAAAGGTTGGAGGGAAACTGTTGGGGCCAGGGTCCAGCTGACATCTTTATATGTACTCTGGTGACCCTTGGAGCCCATTTAGAGAGGCATTAATCTGTATAGGACTCTGCTCGGTGGTACTAGGGGCCTCAAAAACGACTTCTAATCCCGCCCCTGTACTATAGGCAATGTAGTCGGTTGGCACCCCAGTCGCATTATTTCGTAGATCCCTACCATCATGCATGCGGGCTGACCTCAAATATCTAGAGCATGCCTTGCGAAGCTGCCGTGGCACCAACGACGGACGACGGATCCGGGGACCTCAGACTCTAGCGGCATGCTTCCGAAGTAGGTAGAGGTTTATTCTCTCGCTCTCCCTACGGCTATTTCTTCCCTTTATCCCATCCGCCCCTTTTCTTTCGATCCCAACAAACATAGAGCACCCGTCAACAAAAAAGCCAGCTCCGCCATGGTGTCACGAAGAACAAACTCGAAGAGCCACAGCCTCTGAGGCTGTTGTTTGTTCCCTTGCTTGCCGATGCGGTCTGATGCAGAGGGAGAGACCTGAAGTAGACCTGCATTCGGGGTGACCGCCTGTCAAAGAGAAGTCTCAGAGACTAGTATGGAAGCTGATGTGAACCTCTAAGACTTCCCAGAAGGGCCCCATAGCCGACAGCATGATTGAGGTAATAATACGGATGATCAGGGTCGAGGAGGATCTAGATTGAGTGGCCCGGGAAAACGAGGGATATGAAAAAGGTACTTGAACCGCGTAGGAAAGAGAGATGCAGAGGGATTGACACTGCACACTTCTGATATCACTGAACCATCTGATCAAGGCCAACACTTAAGGTTTTATAGCCATTTTTATGTCCCTGAACGCTGTATTCGCAACAAATGGAGAGCCAGGAAGCCCACACAATGGACAGGCCACGGCAGTTGTTGCATCAGGTCTTCGAGGACCAAGTCCGCAAGCACCCTGCAAATCATGCATTGGACTTCTACCCTCACGAGCGTCTCAGCTATCAAGAGCTCAACGAACGGTCCAACTCCCTGGCACGGTTTCTGTGTGAGACCCAAGTCCCCGGACGAGAAGTGGTTGCACTCTGTCCGGACAAATCGCCGCTGCTCATCATCGCCGTCCTGGCTGTTCTGAAGGCCGGCATGGTCTGGATGCCGCTTCCCACGGGTGCAACTGCGGATCAGATGCAGTATATCCTGCAATGTTCCCGCGCCGGCCTCGTGCTAGGCTCGGGCCCGAGCAGACCAGGTGTGAGGACTGACCTGGCCTTCATTGCTCTGGATGACATGTTCCAGGGCGGCAAACGCCCGCCTTACGCCTCGACAAACCTGGACCATGTTTCCCAACATGGCAAGGACCTCTGCCATATTCTGTTCACGTCTGGCTCGACCGGGACTCCCAAGGGGGTCATGATGGAACATGGTGCTGTGCGGCACAACGCCGTGGAGCTGACCAAAATGTTCAACCTCGACTCGCACACCCGGACCTTGCAATTTGCGGCCCCCACGTTTGACGTCTTTGGCCTCGACCTGTTCATGACGTTTGCTTGCGGGGGATGCATCGTCCTGGCGCCGCGAGAGGTTATGATGGAGGACATGACGGCTTTCCTGCGCAAAACGCACATCACCTATGCGCAGCTGACCCCAACGGTGATACAGACAATCGACCCGGAGGGCGTGCCGAGCCTCCGCGTCCTGGCCAGCTCCGGCGAGGTCCTGCCATCGCAGTTGGCCAGCCGTTGGCGCCGCAGGGTGCGCATGTTTAACGCCTACGGGCCGACCGAGACGGCCGTGTGCACGGTGCAAGACCTCGGCGAGGACGAGGGCGTCGACGCGGCATGTATAGGCCGCCCGGTGCCGGGACTCGATGTGCGCCTCCTGGACGACGGCGGTGGCCAGGCGGTCCGGGCCGGTGAAGTGGGCGAGATTTGCGTGGCCGGCCCTCAGCTCTTGCGGGGATACCTGTCCCCTGAAGGCGCAGTCCGGCCGCCGGAATGCCACATGGACGGCGTGAGGTTCTATAGGACCGGCGATCTGGGGCGCTCGGAGCTTTCGCCGGCAGGGCTCGGCACAATCAGACTCATCGGCCGCCGGGATGCCGAGGTCAAGCTCCGCGGCATCCGCCTCGACCTGGCCGACGTCGAGCGTTGCATCTTGAAGGGTCCGTATGTGACGGCGTGCGTCGTTGTCCTGCCACGCCGCGGGAGCTCCTCTGGTAGCCTCTGCAGCTTCGTTGTTCTGCCTCATGTCCAAGCCGGCACCGGTCCCGAAACACGGCTTCCGCTCGCCGAGCCGTCGGTGGAGATTCGACGCATGCTCCACGAAGCCAAGGGGGCGGCATCGAGCCGCCTGCCCGCCTCGGCCATGCCGAAAACGTGGTGGCCCGTTGGGGAAATCCCCCTGACGGCAAGCGCCAAGGTGGATCGATTTTGTCTCCAGTCCTGGCTGGAGGAGCTGGAAGAAGCGACCTTCCGGGAACTCGTAGACAGGTTCGGCGCCGAAACCGCGGACCGGGCCGTCGTGGCCGGGCCCGGGGAACGGCTCTTGCAGTCCGCCTGGGCAGAAGTGCTGCTGCGCCCGGCCTCGTCCATCGCATCCACGGCCTCCCTCGCCGAGTTGGGGGCCGACTCACTCGACGTCATTCGGATGGCCGCCCGAGCGCGAAACGTCGGCATCAACGTCAGTGCCGCTGACATCTTCACTGCGAAGACGATCCAGGAGCTTGTCCGGCATTGCCAGTCCCTCGCGAACAAGACCCCGCGGGTGCAGCCGTCGCCATCGCCCACATACCGCCCGTTCAGCTTGCTGTCCCCGACCAGGCCCTTGGCGCCGTTGATGGACGACGTGGCCAAGGCCTGTCGGGTTTCTGTGGCCGCCGTCGAGGACATCTATCCCTGCACCCCATATCAGGCAGCCCTCATGGCCCTGGATATCAAGTGCCCCGGCTCGTACATCTGTGCTTTCAGCTGGACCCTGCGTCATGATGCTGACGTCGACCGCTTGCAGGGCGCCTGGGACGGCTTGTTGGCTTCTCAACCCGTGCTTCGCAACCGTCTCGTCTGGGATGCTACAATGCACAGCTTTATACAAGTCCAGATCCGGCATCGCCCAGCCAGATGGAGCGAGTCTCTTCACGAGGCAGCCATGTCACTGGGCTCCGATCTGTGTCGAGGCCTCGTCCGCTGGCAAGAGGAACGGCAGCGATGGACCTTTCACCTCAAGATCCACCACAGCATCATTGACGGATGGTCTCTGCAGTTGATGCTCAACCAGCTCAAGAAGATCTACTTCGGTGAAGTGGTAAACACACTGGACGCGGCTCCTTTCGCGCATTTCGTGCGCCATCACTTGGACGGACAACAAAGCATCCGATCTGCATCAGAGCAGTTCTGGACCGACTATCTGAAAGACTGCAGCCACGGCGAGTTTCCCCCTACTCCACAGGACGCCCACCACGAGGTCCATGCCACGCATCACCGGTCCCTGGCAGTGCCGATCGATATGCAGGGCCTCGCTTCATGCTTTGGCGTCACCCCGGCCGTTATTCTCTACGGCATCACTGCACTCATCCTCGCCACCCACAGTGACACGCCGGACATTGTCATGGGCTTGATCTTGGCCGGACGTGATGCATCGCTCGATGGTCTCTTCCACATGCTGGGACCCGCCTTTGCATGTGTCCCCTTCAGGACTCAGATCGATCACCATGTGCCCCTGTATCCGTTTTTTCAGCATATACAAAGCCAGATCCTTGCCATCGCTCCCCATCAGCAATATGGCTTGGAGCGCATCAACAAGTGCGGCCCTGGAGCGGCAGCTGCTTGCCAATTGAAGACACTCGTCGTCGTCCAACCCGAAGATGAGCGATCGGCCGGCAGCGGATTGTGGGACGAGGTTCATGGCCAATCATCTGGATTGGCAGATAGTGTTCCCTTCTCCCTCGAGTTGATATTGGCGGACCAGAGTATCTTGGTCAACTGCAACTCAGATCCAGCCCTAGTATCCCCTCACCATGCTCAGACGGTTATCGATCATCTGAGCCAGGCTCTTCAGAGCTTGTCGAGCCTGAGTTCCCAGGAGACGGTGGGACACATCCAGCTGACACATGAGCACCAGCATTCACGCATGCTGCAATGGGCCGAATCCTATGGATCTGCAGTCAATGCCTGTTTGCACACTCTGTTGCAGACCTCGGTTGAGAAGTTTGCCGACCGCACTGCCATACGCGAGAGTGCGACAGAGCGGCGGCTGACCTTTCGAGAGCTAGATGTCTTTTCCAGCAGACTGGCAATATTCCTGGCCGAATCGTGCCTCGTGTCGGAACAGACAATCGTTGCCATGGCCATGGACAAGTGTGCTCTCGCCGTCGTTACCATCTTTGCCATCCTTAAAACTGGCTCTGCCTATCTACCCCTTGACCCAAGCTGGCCTCTCGAGCGCGTGCGGCGCATCGTCGACGATGCGGGTGCCGCTGCCATCGTATGCTCACCCGCCATCGCTGACGGATACACAAGTCTCCGGCAGCAGCTTATTCCACTCCACGACTCCCACTGGAAAGATCAGGAGCTCCAAGTCCTTGCTTCGGCCGAATGGGCTCCCAGGGGAAGTCCGTCGGATCTGGCAGTCTTGATGTACACATCCGGCAGTACAGGGGTTCCCAAGGGCGTCATGCTCGAACATGGGGCTTTGAGCACCAGTCTGATGCATCTAGCACGGGCTTTCGCTCTTCAGCCGGGTTACCATCACTTGCAGTTCTCGTCTTTTGTCTACGACGTCAGCATTGCCGACATCTTTATTCCCTTGCTATCTGGGGCCTGCATATGTGTGCCGACTGAAGACGATCGCCTCAACAGACTTTCCGCAACAATACGAAGAATGGAAATCAACTCGGCCATTCTGACGCCATCCATGACGGGACTGGTTGCGCCCCAAGACGCCTCTACACTCAAAACAATCATGACGGGTGGGGAGATGACCAGCCGAGCACTCATCCGGACCTGGGCGCCGCTCGTGCGACTTCTCAACGCCTACGGCCCAACTGAGGCTTCCATCACCACGACAGTCACCGACCCCCTGAAGGTGGATTCAGATCCCGGCATCATTGGCCGCAACGTTACCGGATGGCACCTGATTCTTCGGCGCAACAACCACGGAGAGCTCTACGAGGCCCCGTTCGGCTGTACGGGTGAGATCGCCATTGCCGGCCACAGCCTTGCGAGAGGATATCTCCATAACATAGAGCTCACGAACAAGCACTTTGTGACTTTTCCGCACTTACACAAGTCGCAACTCCCGTCTCGTGTTTACCTCACGGGAGACATTGGCCGATACGAATCGGATGGGTCGATGCGCATTCTCGGCCGTCGGGATCGGATGATGAAGATCAATGGCATTCGCGTCGACCCGGGGGAGGCGGAAGACCGGCTACGGCGGCTGGGGGGCCCTTTTGCTTCCGTGGTGGTCCAGTGCACTCTCGACAAGGCCAACGTCTGCCGGCTAGTTGCTTTCGTTACCGTCGACGGGCACAACAGCGACAGCACGGCCAGCAGAGCCCTCATTCTCGACGCACGCACCACCTTCTATGAGCTGTGCCGGGACGCCCGCCGCCGTCTGTTGGAGCATCTTCCGATTTCATACGTCCCCAGCCTCTTCGTCCCCATCAGCCACGTCCCTCGGACGGCGTCTGACAAGATTGACTACAAGCGACTGAGGGCTGAATTGCAGAAGTTCCCTCTAGCACCTTTTCTGATTGCCTCGGATGGAGAGACAGACCATGATCCAATGGCAGACGCGGACCCTGCTACACCAACGGAGCGGGCAATGGAAGGCGTCTTTCGCAATGTCTTTCACGTGCAAGGGCGGCTGGGCGTGGCGGCTGACTTCTTCCGACTGGGCGGCGACTCGTTTGCAGCCATCAAGCTTGCGAGCGTTGCCAGGGAGCATAGTCTAGAGATTACCGTTCAGCAAGTCTATCGATATCCCCGACTGAAGGACCTGGCGGCCGTCGCCCGGTACAAGACAGAGGCAAGTATCGATGGTGCCGGCCAAGATGAAGGACGGAATGCATCTTGGTCCGTCAGGGTCCCAGACGAAGTCTGGCGCGAAGTTCGGGACGTGACAGGATTTGCCTTGGACGAGATGGAAGACGTCTATCCCGCATCTCCATTCCAAGAAGGACTTATGGCAGCGTCGTTGCATGGCGTCACGCCGAATGGGGTAGATGAAGGAGCAACTTACCAAGCCAAATTGGTCTTTCAGCTGGCGGCGGAGACAGATGCCGACCGACTGGCCCAGGCGATGGACAAGGTCGTATCCCAGAATCCCATCTTACGAACTACACTCGTCTCCTCCACTAGAGGACTCATGCAGATTGCTCGCAAGAAGCTGCCCAGAGACAGAGACGCCCCTTTCCATTACGAGATTGAAACGGCCTCGTGTCAGCATCCGACCAGATTGGTGATGCGGATGCACCACGCCTTGTACGATGGACCTACAATCCATCTCCTGCTGCAAGATATCAATTTCTGGTATGGCGAGCCAGACGGCATCAGGATCCCTCCTGTCCCATATCGCAGGTTTGTGGAATATCTTCTTTCCACTGCCTCGGAATCGGCAAGCGAATACTGGACGGAGAACCTTCGCGATGCTCCCCTGACGCCTTTCCCGCCAGTCTGTGAAAATGAAAACCGGACGGCGGCAATCCAGCACGTCCATCTGAGCACAACAGTGTGCTTGGATCTCCCTCGGCAGTGTGGAATCTCTGCCGCCACTCTGGCCGCCGGCGCGGTGGCCCTACTTCTGTCAGCGTACAGCTTTGCAGAACAAGTGTGCTTTGGGATGACGCTTTCAGGCCGTGACAGTCCTGAGCTCGAGAGAATCGCCGGGCCGACGCTGTCGACGGTTCCCATGCGTGTCCATATGTGCCCCCAGCAATCCGTGCTCTCCTTTCTCCAACGGCTTCAGAGCTCGCTTCTGGACATGCGCCAGCACCAGCATTTTGGCCTCAAGAACATCTTGCGTTTGCCAGGCCAGGGCCCTCGGAACGCCGGCCAGTTTCGAACGCTTCTCGTCATGCAGCAGGGGCCGGGGCAGTCCTCGAGCGAAGAGCAGCCTCCAGGGGTCGTCGAAAAGCTCTTGCCCGACGAGTCGTCGATGCATGTTGAGAATCCATTGGTCATTATTGGACATGTCGATTCCTTGACGGGACATGTGGACTTGAAAGTTGAGCATGATGTCGCCTGCGTTTCACATGTTCAGGCACGACGGTTTATCCAGCAACTAGGGCAAGCCATCACAGAGCTTTCGCTGCCGCACCGCCCATTGTCCGAACTGGACTTGGCCAGCTCTGCCGATAGAGCGGAGATTGCCGCATGGAACCCCAAACCCTCCGCCGCTCCCTCTCGCGGCATTTGTCAGATATTCCAAGACATGGCTCTCCAGCGTCCCGGCCTTCCTGCCGTCGAGGCCATAGTCGGCGGCCAAGGGCTCGGCACTGTTCACCGCATGACGTACAAGCAGCTGGATGGTGCTTCTACGGCACTGTCATATGCCATCGGGCGGTGTGCTCCGAATAGCCGACGAATTGCTCTATGCCATGGTAGACCCTCGTTGGTTCTGACAGCCATGTTGGCGGTCTGGAAGGCCGGCAAGGCATTTGCAACCTTGGATCCGTCCGCACCCGCCGACAGGCGCCAGCATATCCTAGCCGACCTGGGGGACGATACCGTTGTCCTGACAGATTCGTCCGAAGCCCAGACCTTCGCTCCCTTCAGCGTGTTTATCCTCGATTCGATGCTGCAAGAGGCGGAGTCCAAACCAGATACAGATGACATCGTGCGCCACGCAAACAAGGCTTCCGACACGGCGTATGTCTTGTATACTTCAGGCAGCTCTGGTACCCCCAAGGGGGTTGTGGTTCGACATTCCGCCATTGCGTTGTCGCTCTTGGATATCGGCGCAACCATGGGATTGAATTCCGAGACCAGAATGCTGCAGTTCGCTACGTGTGCCTTTGACACGAGCCTTTTGGAGATCTTCGCCACGCTCATGGTTGGCGGCTGCGTTTGCATTCCCTCCCGGAGCCAGCGTCTGGACGGCAACCTTGGCCAGGCCATCAACCAGCTCCAAGTCAGCCACCTTGTTCTTACGCCAACTATAGCCGCACTGCTCTCTCCGGCGCATTTGCCGACCGTACGGTCACTAATGCTTGTAGGAGAGCCCCCTACGAAGCAACTCGTCGTAAACTGGACCTCGTCGTCTCTTCCTCATGATATCCAGATTATGAATGGCTATGGCCCAACCGAGGCGAGCGTGCATTCATCAACCAACTCATCACTTGGTCCCGACGAACCCCATAATATAGGACGATCAACCGCTTGTGGCCTTTTCCTGGTGGTACCAGAGCAGCCTACCAAGCTGGCACCAGTGGGAGCTATTGGAGAATTGGTTATCTGCGGCAACACCGTGGCAGACGGCTACCTCAACCAGCCGGAACAAACAAAACAAGAGTTCGGAACCGACCCTCTGTGGGCTCCCTGGACGGAGGCTACTTCTCGAGTTCGCTTTTACCGAACCGGCGACCTGGCGCGCTATGCATCGGACGGGTCTTTGACATACTTGGGCCGAAAAGACCTGCAAGTCAAGATGCACGGGCAGCGTGTCGAGTTGTCCGAGATTGAATGGCACATCAGTCGATCGGCTCAGTTCGCAGATTGTATAGTGGACATCGTTCCTCCCGGAACTTTGGTGGCCTTTGTTCTCTCTCGCGAGCGTGGCAACTCCAAGGCAGCTTGCAACGGCCCATTGTCCCCAGGGCAAATCGACGAAGCAGCCGTAAGCCGAACGCAGAGCCGGCTGCGATGCGCCCTTCCGAAATACATGGTCCCGCATGTCTTTGTTCCGTATGGATGCTGGCCCACGACGACATCGGGCAAGATCGACCGTCGTCAACTGCGTGCTTCCGTCGAGTCCTCTCTCGACAACTACCGGGTTCGTCCGAGGGGTTCGAAGCGGCCGGCCCGCAACCTGGCGCAGAAGGCTTTGTTTGAGAGCATTGCCGAGGCTATGTCCATCGCAGAAGACCAGATTGGCCTGGACGATTCGGTTGTCTCGCTGGGCGGGGACTCGATAACCATGATTCGCATCCTTGCGCTTTCCCGGCAGCGGAAGTTGAATATTGACGTGAGCAGAGCGTATCCATCTAGCACGCTGGAGGATTTGGCCATGACGCCGGACTTGTCTCTGCCCACACGCATCGGCGAGGACGCTGCTCCGCCGCCGCCCTTCTCCTTGATTACATGGCTGGATCGAGAGGGCATCTGTGCCAAAGCGGCGGACCAGTGCCAGGTCCCTATAGCATCCATCACCGATGTATATCCCTGCACCTCGATGCAACAATCGCTCATGATTTCATCGGCCAAGGCTCCTGGTGCCTTTCTCAATCAAGAGGTCTTCCAATTGCCACCAGGGCTGTCGGTTCCTAAACTGATCCGTGCCATTCAATCATTGTGGCAACGCCATGACATTTTACGGGCCCGGATAATCTTACAAGATGAATGCCGGGGCTTACAGGTTGTTCTCCGAGAAGATGCTCATGTGTCTCGGATCTCCACTGAGAAGCTGGACGAGTTCTTGTTGCAAGACAGTTTCGTAGCATTTGGTTACGGAACGAAGCTTTCTCGATGCGCAGTCGTTGCATCGCAATCGCTGACTTACCTGGTGCTGTCACAGCATCATGCGGTTTTTGATGGCTGGTCCATGAACCTCTTCAAACATGAGATGCAAATTCTGTACGCCGAGAGAGGCCTCGGGCTGCCGCCAACACAGCCCTATGCCTTGTTTGCTCGTCATGCCATGAATATTAGCAACAATTCCGCCGCGCATCGATACTGGCAAACACGGCTTGCCGACATCCAGTCTGGCTCTCTTCCCCAAGTGCGACAAGCTGCCGCCTTCGCTGCCAACCAGAAATACGCGCTCACCGTTCAGCTCCCAAGCGAGCCTGCGTACATGCTAGCAACACTTGCAGAGGCTTCATGGGGCGTGCTGTTGGGCCGGTATCTGGACTGCGAAGATGTGTCCTTTGGTGTTGTCCGGTCCGGACGAGCGGTACCCCTTTCAGGCATCGACATGCTCATGGGGCCTACCCTTGCCAGTATCCCGCGGCGCTTGCGTGCCGTGCGAGAGCAAAAGGTGGCAGCTTATCTCCGGCAGGTCCAAGTTGAAACCACCCAGGCGATGCCATGGGAGCAGTTCGGTCTCTCCAATATTCGTAAGATTGACAAGGACGCCTTCCAGGCGTGCAAGTTCAACTCTATGCTCGTTGTTCAACCGCCAGCCGTCCATCCGGGACCCGAAGACAAGGAAGCCTTTCTTATTCCCCAAAATGACGTTTCAAAAGGTTTCGTCGATTCAGATTGCCTCATAGTAGAATGTCAACCTACCGGTGACGATCAGGTCATAATTTCCATCAGCTATGATGACCGCCTGACATCCAGCGACGACGCACGATGGATGGCGTACCATTTTTCTCACACGCTACAGGAGCTGGGCACCAACGAAACGGGTACAATTGGAGATTTGGTCATGTCCGGGTCGGAGAGACTGGTTCAGGAATGCCGGTGGAACAGCATAAGGATTGATGCCTGCCACCAGCTGGTGGATGAGCTTTTCAGCGACAGAGCAAGTCAATGGCCCGACTTCCCGGCGGTGGAAGCTCCCGATGCAAGTCTCACGTATGAGCAATTAAACACTTTGTCGTCTGCTGGAGCGTCCCGACTTCAACTCGAGTGCGGAGTGTGTCGAGGGGATCTGGTGCCGCTTTTGATGAGCAAAGGGGCCGCAATGATCGTCGCCATGCTATCCGTCTTGAAAGCGGGAGCAGCCTATGTGCCCCTGCCCACGGATGCTCCCTCAGAGCGGCTATGCTTCCTGATGGGAGAGATTAACTCCCCGATTGTGGTTACTACGGCCGACCAAGATAGCCTGATTCGGACTCTGTCGGCCCAGCCCATTACTTGGGACATTGAAGAGCTGTCCAAAGGGCCGTGCCCGGAGCCCGTTGGAAACGATGATGCCGTAAAGTACAACCACTGCCGTGATTTGCGGTCGCACTCAGATCTCGCCTATATACTCTTTACCTCTGGCAGCTCAGGAACGCCAAAAGGAGTCATGATCGAGCACTCAGCTCTCGCAGCAACAGCGTTGATCAATGGTCGTGATATCAACTACCAGGCCAAGACACGGACCCTTTCCTTTGCATCTTATACATTCGATGTCAACGTCATGGAGATTTTTCTGACTCTCCTGCACGGTGGCTGCCTGTACATCCCGCCCGAGAATCGACGACTCGGGGATCTCTGCGCATACATGGAGGAAAGGCAAATCGAACTCGCTTTTCTAACCCCAACGGCTATCCAGAATATACTTTACTCATCCAGGCGGGTGCCTTCGCTGAAGACCCTGTGTTCTGGCGGCGAGCCGTTGACGAAGTCGATTGTGCAGGAATGGGCTGCGAGCGTCCGGCTGATCAACTCCTATGGCCCAACCGAGACCTGCTTCGATGCATGCCGAAACCCACATGTGACCATCGACGGTGACCCGAACAACATCGGGTTCGCTATTGGGACGCATCTTTGGGTGGTCGAGCTGGGCAACTACGGCTCTCTGGCTCCCGTAGGCTCTGCAGGAGAGCTGCTGATATCTGGACCAACGCTTGCGAGGGGGTATCTCAAGGACCAGCAGCGCAGCCAGGCGGCATTCATCGATGGAAGTCAGTTTCCTTGGGTCCAGCCAGGAGAAGAGCGTTTGTACGTGAGCGGAGATATCGTCCGGAGAAACCCGAATGGGTCTATCACCTTTATTGGACGAAGGGACCAACAGATCAAATTGAACGGCTTCCGCATCGAGCTCGGTGAGATTGAACAGTGTCTTGAACGCTGTCCATCTGTGGTCTCTGCTGTGGCAGACAAGGTCACGTCTCAAGAAGATTGCTCCGAGATGCTTGTGGCCTTTCTCACTCTCGCCCTCCGGGAGCAGCCTCATGGACGGGAGCTGCTGCTGCCTCCAGCTCCCGATACACGCTCAATCATCCAAGGCGTTCAGGCCCGCATCGATGGCCTTCTGCCTCAGTTGATGGCTCCGCGAGTCTATCTCCCACTGTCACGTATTCCACTCACCCCCAGTGGGAAAATGGATCGGAAGGCGCTGCAGGCTCTCGTGGGTCAGCTCCCTCCCGAGCAGATTCTTTTGTATCAAGCCGCATCAAGTGTCATTCGACAGCCGTCAACCGTGACGGAGCGAATCCTGCAAGGGCTATGGGCGCAGGTTCTTAAGGTTAATCCAAAACATTTGGGGCTGGACACCCAGTTCACACGCGTTGGCGGAGATTCTCTGACTGCAATCAACTTGGCTTCTTTATGCCGCGAGGTTGGATTCAAGCTTGAGGTAGCGGACATATTACGAATGCCTCAATTGGAGCACATGGCCAACCACGTGGAGAGAAATCAGCAAAGGGCCAAAGTTGACGGACAATATATAAATATCCAGACGACCGTTGCGAGTAAATCGTGGCGTGACCCGAGGCTGCTGTCTCAGGTATGTCAAGAGTGCAGTCTGTCTATAAACGACATCGAGGATGTTTATCCATGCACGCCCATTCAAGAGGCACTGATGGCTGCAACGGTGCGGCAACCAAAGACATATATTGACCACAGCATGTTCCTGGTGCCCCCGTCAACCGACCCCGAACGATTGCGCACCTCGTGGGACGTTGTCCACCAAGCCAACGCCATTCTGCGGACGCGGCTTTGTCCCGCCACGACCGATCAAGGCGTACAGATGATGCAAGTCGTCACGCGCCGTCCCAGTCTTTGGATCGATGCAGACAACGAAGTCGACTCAGCCATTGACATGGGACTGGGGACGCCTTTGGTGCGGTATAGAATCCGACCTTCCGGTAAAGCTTTCATCTTCGAGATGTGGAGGCATCATTCCATCTTTGATGGCTTTTCCTCCCTGGCGCTTTGGCAGGATCTGGAGCACGCTTTTGCATATTCAGTCCCGCCGAAGCCCCGGCCATCATACCGGACATTTGTCGATTTTGTCCAGGGCGCGGATAAAGCAGAAGCTGTCTCCTTCTGGCAAGCCCAACTTGACGGCCATCAGCCGGAGGCTTTCCCTGCCCTCCCCTCGCCCGACTATCTTCCACAAGCCGATTCCAACACAAGCCAGACGTTGGAAAGTAGGCTGAGTTGGAGCTCGGCAAGTACCTTCTCCTTCGCCACCGTTGCTCGCGCCGCTTGGGCGGCCATGCTTGCCATGAGGAGTCGCAGTTCCGGCGTGGCCAAGGACGTCTGCTTCGCCGTGACACTCTCCGGCCGCACTGCCCCCCTGGCAGGTATCGAGGACATTGTCGGCCCGACCATCACGACCATCCCCGTGCGGACGCAGTTCGAACTGGACGACCCTGTGTCTCAGTTTCTCGAGCATGTTCAAGATCAAGCCTTGGATATGCTTCCGTTTGAGCACTTCGGGCTCGGTCGGATTCGAGAGATTAGCTTGTCCGCCCGCGATGCCTGCGCGTGTGTGAACCTCCTCGTTCTCCAGCCGGCTCAGCTTGGAGACACCGCGGTGCCCCTTGGCTTGCGCCGCATGTCCGAGGCTACCAATGGACTGCGTGAGCTTTTTGGCCTGGTCATGGAATGCAGCCAGAACAGCGCCAAAGACCATGTCTCCATCTCGGCTGCCTACGACCCGTCGCTGCTAACGGGACCTGAAGTGAGGCATATCCTGGAGCAGTTCCAACAGATGATTGGCATTCTAAGCCGCCGTGCCTGCGACAACTCGACCATCCGATCTGCGTTCTGGGAGCTTGCTGAGGGGGCCGATCTTGGGCGGACTGTCGAATGGAACTTGCCTGGGGATCAGTCTCCGCCGCCGCAACTGCACGAGCTGGTGGAGGAAACGGCAAGGCATCACCCCGAGCAACTTGCCGTCGACTGCCACGACGGACAGCTGTCCTACGCCGAGCTTGTCGCCGCCTCGGGCACTTTAGCGCTCTACCTTCAAAGTGAGCATGGCGTGAGACCCGGCCATCTCGTACCTATTTGCACCGAAAAGTCGCGCCTCATGGTCGTTGGCATCCTGGGCATTATCAAGGCGGGCGCAGGCTACGTTCCACTCGACACGAACCACCCCGAGGCCCGTATACAACACATCATCCACGAGATCCGGCCGCAGGTGATTATCGTATCCCCTTTGCAGGCGACACGCCGACGGTTCCCGCTGCGAACGCTGGTGCTCGACTGGGAGCATCTGTCGGCCCCGGGCCCTCCACGAACTCTGTATTCATCGTGTCCGGACGACGTAGCCTATGTCATCTTCACTTCCGGGAGCTCGGGTGCGCCCAAGGGGGTGGTGATGGAACACAAGGCCGCAAGTCGGAGCGTTCTGGAGCACGCGAAGCGTTTCCAGCACGACCGCCAAGGGGTGAGGCGCCGCTCCTTGCAGTTCAGCTCCTACGCGTTTGATGTGAGCGTGATTGACATCTTTGCCGTCCTCGCGTCCGGCGGGTGCGTCTGCATCCCTTCTGAGGCTCAAGCCGTGGATAATCTCGAGGGCTTCATCCAGAGCAAAAGGATAGACTTTGCCAATTTGACCCCTACTGTCGCCAACCTGCTGGACCCAGTCCGAACGCCGACCTTGAAGACGCTCGCCATCGGAGGCGAGATGGCCAATCGCGCATTGCTGCACAAATGGACGAGCCGTGACTCGCCGGTGGAACTTTTCGTCAACGCTTACGGGCCGACAGAAGCGGGCATCTCATGTGCCGCGGGCCTGCTCACGGCGACCTCGCTCATCGGCTATGTGGGAAAGCCCCTGGCCACTGGGCTCTGGATTGTCGACGAGCACGACCACAACCACCTCGTCCCCGTCGGGTCTGTTGGCGAGTTGGTTGTCACCGGCTCCACGCTCGCTCGCGGCTATCTCAACGACGAGGAACAGTCCCGTCAATCGTTCTTGGAGCATGTGCCCTGGCTGGCCAAGGTGGGCCAAGGGCGGTTGTATAAGACCGGCGACCTTGCCCGCTTCGACGTCAACGGACATGTGGAGCTCGTGGGCAGGCGAGAAGACACGCAGGTCAAGTTGCGGGGGCTGAGGATCGAGCTCGGCGAGATCGAGGCTGCTATTGGCGCCTCTTCCTGGGCGTCTCGGATCCAGCGCGTTGTCGTGGCCAAGATCCTTCGAGACGGCATTCCATTATTGGCTGCCTTTGTCCAATTCTCCCCCGACGAGTGCCTCTCCACACCGGACCTGGCGTCCATCTTTTGTCGACCGTCGGAGCAGTTCCTGGTCTTTGTTGGCAGTACCCAAGAAAGCCTTCGAAAGCAACTCCCGGAATACATGGTGCCCCGGCTTTGGCTCCCCGTCTCCGCGTGGCCCCTCCTGAGATCAAGTAAGACAGACCGCAAGTCACTTGCGGCCTCGGCCGAGGCCCTGGACTCGAAGCGCGTGTTTGCATATCAGCGACCGGCCCCGATCAATGGCCATGGCATGCCGTTGGTCAAGCTTAGCGAAAGGGAAGAAGTCATCAAAGAGGCCTGGCTTCAAGTATTGCACAAAGACGCGCATTGCGACGTTGGACCTCATGACGACTTCTTCCAACTGGGCGGCGACTCGCTGACGACCATCATGCTCGTTACGGCCCTGCGGCAGAGAGGAATCTGCATTGCTGCCCATGAAGTGTTCGCTGAAAAGACTCTGCGCGGCATGGCCGGTCGGTGTAGGAACACAGACACGACGGGCCAGCACACGATACATGCCTTTGGGACACAGCGCCCTCCGTCAGGCCCTGATGCCGACTCCAAGACATATAGCAAGGATTTATCCTGCGAGGTTTGGCGTGCCCGTTCACTAGACAACTCAAATACGGGCGTGAAAGAGCTCCTTTCTAGCATGTGGACATCGATTGCCGGGCTTCCGGCGCGACCATATAATGACAATGATGATTTCTTCCAATGTGGCGGGCATGATCTCGCAGTGCTCCGTCTTTCAAGGCTTGGGGGAGGCAAGCAACTGCTATTAAGCACTGTGGATATTTATACGCATCCCACTCTTGTCGACATGGCTGCCTGCGCTCAGTTTCACGGACTGAGGAAAGCACATGAGACCTCGAACTCGCATGTTGACCGGTTCCCAGCCTGTGTTGGAACGACCGAGGTTGAAGAAATCTACCCGGCGTCATACACCCAGCTGGCCTTCCTTGTCGAGGCCCAGAAATGGCCACGCTCCTATTACTTGTGGACCTTCTTTGAGTTGGACGACCGTGTCGCGGCTGACCGAGTGCAAAAGGCCTGCCGTGCCCTCGTCGACCGTCATGCCATCCTGAGGACCAGCTTCCATTTCATACATGGCCAATGCTTCCAGGCGGTGCGCACCTCCAGGCTTGACTTCAAAGTCATGCTTTGCCACAACCTCCCAGATCGGATGTGTTCGGTTCTCGACCAGGACACTGGCCGTCCAGTTCGATTCGACCAGGTCCTGACCCGATTCCGGCTGATGATAGATCCTGAAAGTGGCATCCGGACACTCGCCATGGGGCTATCCCATGCTCAATATGACGGATTCTCCTTGGCCACAATTTGGAACGATCTTCGGTCGGCCTACCTCGGGGTCCTTGCCGAGCCCACAGAATCGCGAGGCTATCATCGCTTCATCCAGCATGCTCTCGAGCTATCGAATGAGAAGACTGATGCTTTCTGGCGAGAATTGCTACGGGACTCTACCTTGACTATTGTTTCCGACATGCCCTCGGTTCAACAACCTGTAATGAGCCAAAGTTTCATGCGGACCATCCCTTTCCAATTCAAAAAGTCTGGCCCGACAAATTACGGCACTCTTCTGAAGGCTGCATGGGCTCTCGCCCTGTCTGCCATCTCCCAGTCTACGGACGTGGCATTTTGGAATCTTGTTTCGGGAAGATTCGCCCCCTTCGAAGGAGCACAAGCCGTGGTTGGGCCCTGCATTAACTTTGTACCTGTGCGGGTGCGTTTCGACCCCAATGAGCCTGTCTCGGAGCTTCTTCGTGGCATACACGAGCAGCACGTTGCATGCATCCCGTTAGAAGCTACCCCAACCAACCGTATCATCCAGCAGGCCGAGTGGCCGGCATCCTCAACCAGCCTCGGGACAGTCTTCCAGTATCAGAATATTCCTGATCCTCAGGAGCATCCTGTTGAGGCCGGCACGGCCTGGACGATCAAGGGCGGCGCCGTATATGGTGGCGGTCTTTTACAGGCCGGAGCATGTTGGTTGTTGGCGTGGCCGACCAGGGACGGACATTCATCATTTCGCTTCACCTTCAGTCCTCAAACCCTCTCGCCGGCCGCAGCCGAGTCGATTGTGGCACTATATCTAAGCCTTCTGCGTGCTATCAACGATGGGCCTCAACACACCGTGGCCTCGGTAATGCCCCCAGCAAACAACCCATCGCCATCTCGCCTGGCGCCAGAACAACGGGCTTCCACGTGCACCTTGCCTGAAATTGCGTACGCCGGGCAATCGGTATTAACGCAGATTGAAACTTTTTGGAAGGGCTTGCTTGGAATACTGCACTCCATCGGCCCGGATGAATCATTCTTTGATTTAGGGGGGGATTCTCTCTTGGCCACGGAATTGGAAGGTCTATGCGTGAAAGCGGGATTCAACATGACGCTGCAGGATATTCTTGATTTCCCCACCCTCCGACTGCAGGCGCTTCTAGTATCGAGTCAGATATCTCGGCCAGCACACATTGTGCCCCAATTGCAGTACCATCCGGCCAGTGAGCTCAGCTGATGTTGTCGGACTGAACGGGCACGGTTGTGTTGGAGGGAATGCCTCTGCCGCCCTAAAATAGTAGGAAACTATCAGATTGGTCAAGCAGTTTGGAGGGCGACTGATGAGTGAGTGAATGATTGGAGAGCCCTGGAAACATGGCCCCGGAGCGATAACGCCACATTTGTTAGTAGTAGAGGTTTTTACATACGCAAATGAAGTTATTCGCAATAATTTCATCTCATAAGCAATCAAGTCCAGTCGAGATGGGACATGGTTCAGTATGAAATACTTTGGACGCCGTTAAATTGCCCAGACAAGGGGCTTCGAGGCTGAATAATGCAATCTGCGATCTAGGCACTTGTCTCTGTAGATGCGTGTTTTGTCTGCTATACAGTGAGATCTCGAGAGAGTGTAACTATGCCGAAGAAGCTAACACCCAGAGGCTTCAAAGTGTAGGCTGTGGCCCAAGCCGGCTATATCCTGTAGTGGCTTTGGCACATAGTCATACCTTCTAATGCCCTTCGCCCTGCCGGGGGGGAGAGGAAAAGGGACTCTACAAAGGATTTGTCAGGACAAGAAAGGGCCTATAATACGCGTTAGTAACGCCTCTATTGGGGGTGCCCTCATTTTGCATAGTGTAGCGGTATTTTACCAGCTTGACAGGATTGCATTTTACGCAACCCGACACAAAGCACAGTTGCTGCCCTGCCAAGACAACTGCCAGAACAGGCATATTACGTCTTCTTTGATAGCCTCTTTTCGTCGCTAAACCTCCTGTTAGCTAGGCATTAGCTAGGCATTGGCTAGGCATTAGAGCTACAAGCATAGCCTGCACTAACAGTGGCACATATTTGCCCTTTGTAGAGGCGAAGAAAGCTAACGCAAAGAGCATTTAGTAGTCTTGGGGGACCTTACAGACTACATCTACAGTACCCGACGCCTACTCCATTCATTTCATCCAAACAGGACGAACGAACCTCCGGGCGGTCGCGCCTGCGCACACGCTTGCCGCGCGGCGGCGCCTAATAGCCGCGAAGGAAGCGCCTCAGCCTCGTAGGTACGGTAGGGTTTTATGGGATTTAGGGACCTTTCTCGGGCTCTCGGCTCCGGCCAAATTAAACGTAGACATTACGCGCCATATACTATATACTAATATGCTGTTGTGTAAATAGCAATACTCTACTTAAATGCGCTTGTATAATAGTCGCGCATCTGCGCCCGTTTGGTAGCGTTGGGCGTAGACCCTTCCAGACGCTGTCTCCTACCCTGTAGCCCCGTCGAACCCCTCTTTCTAAAATCTCAAGGTGGGTGACGGAAGTGATGATCCAACAAATCAAACGCGCGTTGTGAACAGGCGTGCAGCTTTGTGCTCCGCTGTGAGTGGAGGACACGAGCGCCATTATGTCATGGGTTGATCATAGCTTTTGCTGCAGGCGGACAATATCTCTGTATTGTACCTTGATTGTTTATTACTTGCCGCCGGCATATGTGACCAGGCCAACGTAGTCTAACTCAACCAGTTCTATGGTTCCTTGTACGTACAGTAAGCGCGGGATAAAGCCATGGTTCGGCTCTATGTGCAAAATGCAACTCGCCTATAAAGCTCTACACTGCCCAATCCGAGAACAGCACAGAGACTTTCCACGTTGGTACGTGCTGGGCGGCGTGCCAAGCATGCATGGTCAAGTCTCCTTTCGGAATATCCCGGGACGACACCCTTGCCACGAGGGCTTTTCGGCGACTGGGAGCATTTTCCCCCTGGAAGGCAGACGACGAACGATGAGCAAACACTTATGTAAAAAACAAGCACAACGAGTACTGACAGCATGACGTAGTATACGTGGTCCGAGTTTTCTATAAGTAGTTTGTTGGGTGTGGTGGCTATTCGTACACGGCCCGCAAGAAACAGGACGCACCATGATGGCCTCTTCAGCCCCTCGTCGACGACGTATTCCCCTCATGTATGCATGAACGGACATCTGTGCTGCCATGGCCTGCTGGGCCCGTTTCTGCGCCGCCAGGGCTTGTTTTGCTCATGCCGCCGCCATGTTCCGAAGGGAAAAGAAAGGACAGAACGGCGGCTTTTCTGCACCCCCTTGGATGTTTCAACTCCGCTTCTTGGGCGCCGACCTCGGCCAACCCTTGGCCCGTCCGTTTCCCCTCCGACCGGACCAACGAACCGTCTGTGTCGGCGCACTTCAGGGGAAAAAACGAAGGCCCAGAAATTGATAATCCAATCCTCTCCATTTGCTGCGCGCGACTCCATCAGCCCACACACCAACCGACTCGGAAATTGTCATTGGGGACTGCTGGTGTTGCCTATCAGTCAGCGGTCGACCGAGACCATCCATCACCGGAGGGAGGGGATCCCAGGAGATGCGCCCGAGGCGCCGCCCAAAGATGGTCAGGTTGAATGCACGACCAAGACATGGCCATGGCAGACGTCGGTTACAGTCAGAACGTTGGATGCAACGTGAACTGACATCCATCAGCTCACTCGTCAAACCAGACGGCAGAACCAATATTGTGTGAGTGTGTAGGTGAGTCGGGGCCGACTCCGGAGGGCCACTGTTTCGCATTGGGGAAATCTCCCGTCCGAGCACTCAAGGACGGTTCACGGGTTACCGGCTCCACGGATGAGATGACATGCAACGACGTGCCGCCGCTCATCGTGTACGCAGATTGTAGGCAATCCGTGAGCGGCCAGTCCAGTGTGGGCATGCAATTTGGCTCCAACAGGGCAGGTCCTGCGGTAGCGTAGTAGCAAGGTTGCTTTTTCGGCGTCGAGATCCAGCAAACGGGCCGGCCGTCATCTTGCTTGCCTGCGTGCGCGGCACCCAGCCAGATAAGCATCTAAAAGTCACGGCCAGCCTGGTGATTGGCCAGCCCCGTCAGTTTTCTCGTGTCCATGATTTGACAAGGAGCAATGCCGTGGGCCGGACATGCGGGCTTGGCCATAATCTGCCTGACGACATCAGAGGTTGCGTTGGCGACTCGTGCCGACTGTCGCCCGTGCCATTGGCCCAGAGTGTGGCCAGTTTCCCTCGTCCTCCTCTGCTGGGCGGCGGCGACGGCCTGGCTCGTCGGCGGGCCCCGGGCTTACTCTACGCTGCAGGCCGGCCTTGCACAGCACAGAGAGGAGTGAGGTGCACGGTTGCATGTGTGTAGGCAGGTAGATGCATACACGCATGCGCGAAGAGCACGACTCGTGCCATGGCTGGCGTTGGTGCGCATGACACTGGGGCGGTCAAGGCCAAACATGGCGTTTCACGAGTAGCACCTCGAGCCACCGGGTCAGGCAGCAAGACGAGGCGTGCTGCTCGGCTGCACCGGGGATGTGGAAGTCGGACGGCTCGCTGCTGGAACAAGGCGAGGAGATTGACAACGGTCGACGCTCGTACTGTAGATCCGACAAGCTCGGCCAAACGGGCTACATCATCGCAACACCATGACACGGTCCAGGCAGACGCGGGCCAACAGAGAGGCCTTTGGAAAGCAGAGGGCGCTGATTGGCGCGGCAGGCCCTCCATGTGCGTGGCCTATTTAACGTTTCCTTCCTTGTCTTTGACTGGCGCGTTGCACGGCGTCACGGGCTGGCGACACCCTTGCAGCCCGGTGTGGGTGGCTGCTGCTGCCCAGATTCGGCTTCTCTGTCTCCTGCTCGTCGATATTGGCGGCCAATATAGCTCTCTCTCTGGGCCCAGAAACGGATGATTTTAGGGACCTGAAGAGACGCAGCAGCCGATGCGGGTTCGACCAGCAAAACGACCCCTGGCCGGACAGATGGCGACGTGGCCAGGCCAGATTCAAGCATCATCCGTAGATGACAGCCGTCGAGGACCCGCCAGCGTCGTCGTACCTAACAACCGTGGACGGTGAGGAGGAGGAGGAGGAGGAGGAGGAGGAGAGGGGGAGGAGGAGAGGGGGAGGAGGCCCAATGAGGGTTTTGTGGGGGTAATGGCAGAGTTTTGTAGGGGTAATCTGGGGGTAATGGGAATCAGATTCTCAAGCCAATGCAGCAGGCCATGAGACAACCGCCGCCGCCCACGGACCTGCAGATGCTGGGCGAGATCTTTGGGCCGGGAGAGATCGGAGCAGCTTCTGCCCAAGCTCGCACAGGGATTTGGAGCTTCCCATCAGCAGCGGCCTCGAGGGCTGGGCTGCTTGCAGTGCTTGCAGGGGCGATGGGCACGTCGAAGAGCGTCGACGACAAATGCATTGCTGGCTCGTCGCGGCGGCTGCGGCATCGGCGGCGGGCTGAGACTTGATGGATGGATGAAAGGATGGATGGATGGATGGGTGGCAGAAGTGTCAAAATGTCGAGGTGCAGTGCTCTGACATGTGCGTGCGGATTGCCATGTGCCGCCCGGGCTTTGCAGGGCTCTATTTTACCCGGGCGACGACCAACTGGACGAGAGCTAGGATGCTAGGGTGCAGGGGGCCGGGGCTGCTGCAGTGGCGGCGTGCAGGGGTGGTTACAGATGATGAATGGTGCTGCAACCCCCACCTGGTCTCAATCTCTGTTGACTCGAGTGGCATTCGGGACGAGTGGATTGGTGCGCGATAATGGGGCGAAGCCGGAGGAGGACTTGTTCATAAAAGGCCACACTGCTCGCCTCCCCCCTTGGGTTTTTGACTGCGACTTTCCCTCCTTTGGACCCTCTGCTCTCTTGCTCTCGAGTCCATATAGCGAGCCGTCTCCAACGCCCACTGTGCTGTCGAACCAAACAAACAACCCCATCACCCACTGGTAAGTCGCCGACGAAACTGCCCCGCCCATAAGTTACATACACTACACGGAAGCGTCTTTTTTTGTGCCTATGTGTGTGTGCTGGACAATTGAGGCCCCTGCGTCGACGACTGGACGCGGATACCGATTTCTTCTACGTGAACGGACTGAGGCCGTGGCCATTCCCTAACGGACGGAGGCGCGGGACGAGGAGAAAAGGCGGTTAGCGGGATCCATGGCTGGCGATTCTCGGCAGAAAAACAAAATGAGGCGAGCGAGACACATGCGGGGATCCGAGGCGCAACACGGCTCGTCGGCGCGCAATGAAGTCTCAAGGGGAGACCGGATCCTGGAGCCTCGTCTTGCTCCCCGCAAGAAGCAAGGGTGGCATTTGGGCCTGCAGCCATTGGCTGAGGCCTAGACGCAGAGCCCTGCAGCAGGCCCGTGGCGTCGCCCAACTGCCAGATGCGAACAGGGCGCCGCTCCCATTCGACGGGGGCCAATGCACGGCCGGTCCCGGAACCGACTCCCGCTCGCCGTCAGCCCCAAAAGATGACGAGAAAAAAATCAATTCAGCCCATTCGAAGCGGGAAAAAAAAAAGAAGAGGCCAACGTTGATGCGGGCAATGCATTGCGGGACCAAATTCCATCCATCTCTCGGCGCCGGGTCATCGGCGGTCAGCGGACCTCGCCGGGCTCTCAGTGGACCGACAGCGCTGTTCGGCCAGGGTCCAGAACGCATCGGGACTCGTGGCGGCACTCGTGGCGGCACTCGTGGCGCCTAATACGTACGGTCCCGGAACAGTGCGGGCGGCATTCACTGTGCTCGACTGCTGCCTCCACCTCCACCGCAAACTCTCATCTTGACTTTTCTGAATTTCTCGCCCTTCTCCTCTCGCCACCACTCACTGCCGTCATTCTTCTCGTCCTGGCACTCTCGAGCTGACCTTTACTTTCCCTCGCCGCAGACAGATCCATTCCAGAGCAGCCTCCGGCGCTGCTCTCACCCCGGCCCCGATCCAACCACCCGCCGGCGCTGCTCTTCCCGGATCCCCCAGCGCCCGTCCTCAACGCCCTCCAAGGTACTTGAAGAGATCCTCGCCTAGCATGGGCCTGCTCGAGGATTTTGACGACCGACAAATCTCTTTTGAAGCCGAAAAGCACCAATACAAGCCTTATGAGTACCAGACGGAGAACAATGGCTCGTGGGCTGGAGCCCTGCCGGTGAAGCAGGGTCTCTATGACCCCTCGTACGAGAAGGATGCCTGCGGCGTGGGCTTTGCTTGGTGAGTCTGCCAATCATCCGTCCTTCTCGTCAAGATCGCTGCTGACGCCGACGCCCGCAGCCACATCAAGGGCAAGCCGAGCCACAAAATCGTCAGCGATGCCCGCAACCTCCTCTGCAACATGACCCATCGGGGCGCCGTGGGCTCTGATGCCCGAGACGGCGACGGCGCCGGCGTCATGACGTCCATCCCCCACTGGTTCTTCATCAAGAACTTTGAGCGGGAGCAGGGCATCAAGCTACCCCCTCCGGGCCAGTACGCCGTGGGGAACTTGTTCTTCAAGCCCGACGAGGAGACGCTCATCGAGTCCCAGAGGCAGCTGGAAGATGTTGCCGAGTCGCTGGGCTTGCGCGTCTTGGGATGGCGCCGCCCCCCCGTCGACTCGACCCTCCTGGGCCCGGCGGCAAAGTCCCGCGAGCCCATCATTGCCCAGCCTTTTGTCGTCCTCGCCTCCACCTACGGTCCCAGCAACGCCCCGGAAATGACCGACGCCGGCAAGTTTGACGATCGGCTGTTTGAGCGCCAGCTGTACGTCTTGCGGAAGCGTGCCACCTACACCATCGGCCTCAAGAACTGGTTCTACCTGTGCTCGCTCTCCAACAAGAACATTGTCTACAAGGGCCAGCTCGCCCCCGTCCAGGTTTACTCGTACTACCACGATCTGGTCAACGCCGACTACGAGGCGCACTTTGCCCTGGTCCACTCCCGCTTTTCGACCAACACGTTCCCCTCGTGGGATCGTGCCCAGCCGCTGCGGTGGGCCGCCCACAACGGAGAGATCAACACGCTGCGCGGCAACAAGAACTGGATGCGCGCGCGAGAGGGCGTCATGCATTCCGACATCTTCAAGGACGAGCTCGAGATGATGTACCCCATTGTCGAGGACGGCGGCTCCGACTCGGCCGCCTTTGACAACGTGCTCGAGCTCTTGACCATCAACGGCGTGCTGTCCCTCCCCGAGGCCGTCATGCTCATGGTTCCCGAGGCTTGGCAGGGCAACGACCACATGGACCCCAAGAAGGCCGCCTTTTACGAGTGGGCTGCTTGCCAGATGGAGCCTTGGGACGGCCCGGCTCTCTTCACCTTTGCCGACGGCCGTTACTGCGGCGCCAACCTGGACCGCAACGGGCTGCGTCCGTGCCGCTTCTACGTCATGGACGACGATCGCATCATCTGTGCCTCCGAGGTGGGCACCATCCCCGTTGAGCCCGAGACTGTCGTCCAAAAGGGCCGGCTCCAGCCTGGCCGCATGCTCTTGGTCGATACCGAGGCTGGTCGCATCATCGACGACAAAGAGCTCAAGGAGGCCGTGTCGAGCCGCCACGACTTCCGCGCTTGGCTGGACCGGGAGCTCATCACCATGCCCAAGGTACTCGAGACGCTTGAGTCTTCCATGGACCTTGAGGCCAAGCCCGACTCCACGCTTCTCCAGGAGGATCCGCTGCTTCTCTCTTTCGGCTACACCCACGAGCAGGTCAGCTTGCTGCTCGGCCCAATGGCTGCCGATGAAAAGGAGGCCTTGGGGTCCATGGGCAACGACGCTCCTCTTGCGTGCTTGACGCCGGCGCCTCGTCTCCTGTACGACTACTTTCGACAGCTCTTTGCCCAGGTCACCAATCCGCCCATCGATCCGATTCGAGAGTCCATCGTCATGTCCCTCGAGTGCTACGTCGGCCCCCAGGGCAATCTGCTCGAGATGGACTCGTCTCAGTGCGGCCGCCTGATGCTACCCAGTCCTATCCTGTCTATCCCCGAGTTCAACGCTATTGTCAACATGGCTTCTGTCTACCCTGATTGGACGGTCAAGACGATTGACTTGACGTTTTCCAAATCCCAGGGTGTCGAGGGCTACCTGGCCCATCTCGACGAGATTTGCAACGAGGCCACGGCGGCCATCGAGGCCCGGGACCGCATTATTGTTCTCTCGGACCGCAAGACGTCTGCCGACCGCGTCGCCGTCTCCGCCGCGCTCGCCTCGGGCATGGTCCACCACCACCTCGTCAGCAACAAGTGGCGATCCATGGCCGCCCTCGTCGTCGAGACGGCCGAGGCCCGCGAGGTCCACCACATGTGCGTGCTGCTCGGCTACGGCGCCGATGCCGTCAACCCGTACCTCGCCATGGAGTGCATTCTGAAGCTCAACCGGGAGAACTTGATCAAGAAGAAGCTCTCCGACGACGCTCTCATCCGCAACTACAAACACTCTTGCGACGGCGGCATCCTCAAGGTCATGAGCAAGATGGGAATCTCGACCCTCGCCTCATACAAGGGGGCCCAGATCTTCGAGGCCCTCGGCCTGGACGAGGACGTTGTCGATCGATGCTTCAAGGGCACCGCCTCGCGTATCCAGGGCCTCACCTTTGATCTCATTGCCGAGGATGCGTTCCGCTTCCACGAGCGCGGCTTCCCCTCGCGGTACACCGTCAGCGTCAAGGGCCTCCCCGAGTCGGGCGAGTACCATTGGCGCGACGGGGGCGAGGCGCACGTCAACGACCCGACGTCAATTGCCAACATCCAAGACGCCGTGCGTACAAAGAACGACAAGTCGTATGAGGCGTACTCGCGGTCCGAGTACGAGCAGATCAAGAACTGTACCCTCCGCGGCCTCCTCGACTTTAAGTTTGACGACTGCACGCCCGTACCCATCGACCAGGTGGAGCCGTGGACCGAGATCGTGCGGCGCTTCTGCACGGGAGCCATGTCGTACGGCTCCATCTCCATGGAATCGCACTCGACTCTGGCCGTGGCCATGAATCGGCTGGGCGGCAAGTCCAACACGGGCGAGGGCGGTGAGGATCCCGAGCGGTCTGAGCGCATGCCCAACGGCGACACGATGCGCTCCGCCATCAAGCAGGTCGCGTCGGGCCGCTTCGGCGTCACGTCTGCCTACCTCGCCGACTCGGACGAGCTGCAGATCAAGATGGCCCAGGGCGCCAAGCCCGGCGAGGGCGGCGAGCTGCCAGGCCACAAGGTGACAAAGTCGATTGCGCGCACACGGCACTCGACGCCGGGTGTCGGCCTCATCTCGCCCCCTCCGCACCACGACATTTACTCCATCGAGGACCTGAAGCAGCTCATCTACGACCTAAAGTGCTCCAGCCCTCGCTCGCGCGTCTCGGTCAAGCTCGTCTCCGAGGTGGGCGTCGGCATCGTTGCTTCGGGCGTCGCAAAAGCCAAGGCCGACCACATCCTCATCTCAGGCCACGACGGCGGCACCGGCGCCTCGCGATGGACGGGAATCAAGTACGCCGGTCTTCCCTGGGAGTTGGGCCTTGCCGAGACCCACCAGACGCTGGTTTTGAACGATTTGCGTGGCCGTGTTGTGGTGCAGACGGACGGGCAGCTCAAGACCGGGAGGGACATTGCCATTGCCTGTCTGCTAGGAGCCGAGGAATGGGGCTTTGCGACAGCTCCCCTCATCGCCATGGGCTGTATCTTCATGAGGAAGTGCCACTTGAACTCCTGTCCCGTCGGGATCGCCACCCAGGACCCCGAGCTTCGACAGAAATTCCAGGGAACGCCCGAGCACGTCATCAATTTCTTCTACTACATCGCCAATGAACTGCGTGCAATCATGGCCCAGCTTGGTTTCCGCACCATCAACGAGATGGTTGGCCATGTGGAGGTCCTTAGGGTCCGGGACGACCTGCGGACCAAGAAGACGGCCAACATCGACCTGTCTCTGCTTCTCACGCCTGCACACAAGCTGCGTCCCGGCGTGGCAACGTTCAACGTCCGCAAGCAGGACCACAAGCTTTACATTCGTCTTGACAACAAGCTGATTTCGGAGGCCGAGTTGACTCTGGACAAGGGTCTCCCGTCTCGGATCGAGTGTGACATCATCAACACGGACCGAGCCATGGGCACGTCGCTTTCTTACCAAATTTCAAAGAGGTACGGCGATGCTGGCCTTCCACTGGACACGGTCCATGTCAATATCAAGGGATCGGCCGGTCAATCGTTCGGTGCCTTCCTGGCCCCCGGTGTTACCTTGGAACTGGAGGGAGATGCCAACGACTACGTTGGCAAGGGTCTGTCTGGTGGTCGCCTCATTGTCTACCCGCCTCGTTCTGCCGTCTTTAAGGCCGAGGAGAACATCCTCATCGGCAATGTCTGCTTGTACGGCGCTACAAAGGGAACGTGCTTCTTCCGCGGCGTCGCAGCCGAGCGCTTCGCCGTCCGCAACTCCGGCGCGACTGCCGTCGTGGAGGGTGTCGGCGACCACGGCTGCGAGTACATGACTGGTGGTCGTGTCATCATTCTGGGCAACACGGGCCGGAACTTTGCCGCCGGTATGTCTGGTGGAATCGCATACGTGCTCGACGTCCACCGCGACTTTCACTCCAAGCTCAACACCGAGATGGTCGAGGCCGGACCGGTGGAGGATCCGGCCGAGATTGCCTACCTCCGTGGACTGGTCGAGGATCACCACCACTACACCGGGTCTGAACTGGCTGCCCGTATCCTGGTAGACTTCAACCGTGCTCTTCCCCGCTTTGTCAAGGTCCTTCCCGTCGACTACAAGCGCGTCTTGGAGGAGGAGGCTGCCAAGGTGGCGGCTGCCAAGCGGGCCGAGTACAGCCTCCCGGTTGTCTCGGGCGCCAACAAGCACAAGCACAAGACCGAGGAAAAGGCGGCCAAGCTGCAGGACATGGAAGAGGCTGTCGGTGACAAGGCTGCCGAGAAGAAGCGAGCCCTGGTGCTCGACAAGACGAGAGGCTTCATGAAGTACGCCCGACGCTCCGAAAAGTATCGCGGCGTCAACACCAGAGTCAAGGACTGGGCCGAGCTCAGCTCCCGCCTGGACGAGGACGAGCTCAAGTATCAATCTGCCCGTTGCATGGACTGTGGCGTGCCGTTCTGCCAGTCCGAGACGGGCTGCCCCATCTCCAACATCATTCCCAAGTGGAACGAGCTCGTCTTTCAGAACCAGTGGAAAGACGCACTCAACCGACTCCTCATGACGAACAACTTTCCCGAGTTTACTGGCCGCGTCTGTCCTGCCCCGTGCGAGGGAGCCTGCGTGCTCGGCATCAACGAGGATCCGGTCGGCATCAAGTCGATTGAGTGCGCCATCATCGACCGCGGCTTCGAGATGGGCTGGATGGTTCCCCAGCCGCCCAAGGTCCGGACGGGCAAGCAGATTGCCATCATCGGGTCCGGCCCCGCAGGGCTAGCCTGCGCCGACCAGCTCAACCGGGCTGGCCACAGCGTGACCGTGTACGAGCGCGCCGATCGTCTTGGTGGACTGCTCATGTACGGTATCCCCAACATGAAGCTGGACAAGCGCATCGTCAAGCGGCGCACCGACTTCATGGCGGCCGAGGGCGTCAACTTTAAGACGGGTGTCACGATTGGCGAGGAGGGTCAGCAGAGCCTCAAGGATCTCAGGAGCAGCAACGATGCCGTGGTGATTGCCACTGGCGCCACGGTTGCTCGTGATCTGCCCATCAAGGGCCGAGAGCTGGACGGCGTCCACTTTGCCATGGAGTTTCTCCACAAGAACACCAAGTCTCTGCTCGACTCTGAGCTGGCGGATAATGTGTACATCTCGGCCAAGGAAAAGCACGTTGTCGTCATTGGCGGCGGCGATACCGGCAACGACTGCATCGGGACCTCTGTCCGCCACGGCGCCAAGTCGGTGACCAACTTTGAGCTTCTGCCGCAGCCGCCGCCGGAGCGGGCCGGCGACAACCCCTGGCCGCAGTGGCCCCGCATCTACCGCGTCGACTACGGGCACACCGAGGTGCGACAACACACGGGCAAGGACCCTCGTGAGTACTGCATCATGTCGGAGGAGTTTGTCGACGACGGCAGCGGCAAGGTCAAGGGCATCAACACGATCCGCGTGGAGTGGACCAAGTCGCCGAGCGGCGGATGGGACATGAAGAAGGTGGAGGGCTCGCAGCAGTTTTTCCCTGCCGACCTCGTCCTCTTGGCCATGGGGTTCCTGGGGCCGGAGTCGCGTGTGCTGGGCGAGGACATTGAGAAGGATGCCCGCAAGAACGTCAAGACGCCGGCGGGCAAGTACTGCACCAACCTGGACGGCGTGTTTGCCGCGGGTGATGCCCGCCGTGGACAGTCTCTCATTGTCTGGTAAGTCTACACTGCCTGGCGCGGGCATGATAGATGGCGACGGTTGCTAACGATGACTCAGGGGAATCAACGAAGGACGGATGGCAGCGCGAGAGGTTGACTTGTACCTGGAGAAATGCTCCAACCTCCCGGTGACCGGGGGCATTGTGAAGCGCACGGCCCAAGAGATTTTGAGCCAAGTCGCCGAGGCTCAGTAGGTTAAGGTCATGTCTCTCGTAAGCCAAGGCGTTTTTGTCAGGTGGTGATGATGCTTTTTTCTTTGCTCCCTCCGTTTCCTTTTGCCTGCGGATGAGAGGAGGCAGGCAGCCAAGATACCAAGCAAGACTTTGGGGTTAAGGTTGGGAAGGACGGGAAAATGGAATACCATTGCAGCGTGCGCCTTGGGGTTTATTTTCCGACGGCTTTTCGAGACGAGATGGACACGAACATGGTTGATGTGATGACGCAAGGGGCTTGTTACGTAGACGACCAGATGAGTTTTGAAGATGTGTGTTTAAATACGGCACTCGCTGACGGTGAAGTGATTGTCCACCACACGAGGTAAGTTAGTGTCTGCTGAGATGGGGATGGAAGATGTGCTTGTTGAATGTTGGTGCAAGCAGTCTTTTGGTGGCCGGCTTTCGGCGACGTTTCCGGACAACTAGCCTGAGTTGGCGGTGGCTGGACGAAGAGTACTCACTCGGGTTGACGATGTTGCAGAAAGTGACGAAGCTGAAAATTTGAAAAAAAAAAAAGAACCCCCCCGAAAAATAAAATTAAAATTCAAGGCACTTGGGACGGGTGCAAAAACTGGTGTTGTCTGTATTATGCAGCGCCAGTTACAAGCCACGGTAGGGAGGGCACTGTACACTGGAAAGAAGAGTGGCGAAGAGGCCTGGAAATCAAAATCACGGGCCTGGCTCAGCCACAGACGCCACAATCCGGAGAGAGTTGGATCAAGCACCACAAGGCCGGACCGGACGATTTAATGTGGAAAGGCCGCGTCGCATTGAGGGTGGAGGTTCTCTCCCCTCTCGCCCTCCAACGTCTCCGTCATGCCTTGGACATGCTTGGCTTTGGCTGCTCGATGAGGCGCACTTGATTGATTCTACCGACACACAGGCGCGTCGGCCGCTTCCTCTCCCGACTGGCATCTCCGCTCATCACCACCGTTGCCTTCGCCCTCGACCTCTCCCCACGAGCACCGCCCCGGAAACCCCCGGACCCAAGATGCGTTTCGGCAAGACGCTGCGCGAGGCCGTGTACGGGCCGTGGAAGGACCAGTACATCGACTACGGCAAGCTCAAGGACCTGCTGCACGAAGACAAGGTGGACGACGAAGGCGGCGTTGCGTGGACCGAGGACGATGAAAACCGCTTCTGCGACGAAATCTTCAATGTCCAGCTCGAAAAGGTGGCGCGCTTCCAGCAGGAGAGGGTCGACGCCCTGAGGCGGCGTGTCGACTCCGCCTTTGATCAGCTCAAGGAGCTCGCCCCGGCCGACGACGCCGAGACAGAGGCCGAGACAGAGGCCGACGATAAGAAGCTGAAGCCAGACTCGGCCGAACAGCAGCAGGTCCACTCGCGACTGCGGCGGCTGGAAAAGGAGCTCGACGACATTACAAACGAGGTCAAGGAGCTGAAAAAGTACAGCAGCATCAACTACACGGGCTTCCTCAAGATTGTCAAGAAGCACGACCGCAAGCGCGGCGACCGCTACCGGGTCCGCCCCATGATGCAGCTGAGCCTGGCCCAGCGGCCCTTTAACTCGGAGAAGGGCTACTCGCCGCTCCTCAACAAGCTGTCCATCATGTACTTTGCCATCCGGCAGCAGCTCGAGGGCGGCGACCAGGTGCCCCTCGACCTCGAGAGCCAGCGCGAGACGCACAATGGCGAGAGGTATACCGCCCACAAGTGTAAGCCACCGTCGCCTGTGCCTTTCCGCTTGCCTTGGCTGACCGCATTGGCGGCGACGCGCAGTCTGGGTGCATCTCGATAACCTGCTCGAGGTCAAGACCCTCATCCTCCGCCGGCTCCCCACCCTCATCTACAGCGAGCAGTCGGCCAAGGAGCTCGACGGCAAAGACTCGCCCGCCATCACGTCGCTCTACTTTGACAACAAAAAGTTTGAGCTCTACTCGGAGAAGGTCCATCGCCAGTCCGAGGCCTCGTCTCTCCGTCTGCGCTGGTACGGCCAGCTGAGCAGCCGGCCCGACATCTTTTTCGAGCAAAAGACTGCCGACGCCAAGGGCAACAGCCAAGATCACAAGTTCCCCATCAAGGACAAGTGGATCAAGCCCTTTCTTGACGGCGAGAGCGCCATGGAAAAGCACACGCAGAAGATGGCGCGCCAGGGCGTACCCGCCGAGCACATCAACAGCTACAAGGCCACCGTGGTCAGGATTCAGGACTTCGTGCGGCAGAAGAAACTGTCGCCGGTTCTGAGGGCAAACTACGTCCGCACGGCCTTCCAGAAGCCGGCCGACGACCGTGTCCGCATCTCCATCGACACCGACCTAGCCTTTATCCGCGAAGACACGCTCGACGCCGACCGGCCGTGCCGCGATCCCGGCGACTGGCACCGGTTAGACATTGACAGCAGCAGCATGACATACCCCTTCAAGAACATCAACCAGAGCGAGGTCTCCAAGTTCCCCCATGCCGTGCTGGAGATTAAGCTCAAGGATGACGGCATCCGCAAGCGCCCCTCGTGGGTGGAGGACCTGATGGCGTCGCATCTCGTCCATCCAGTGCCGCGGTTCTCCAAGTTTATCCACGGGATTGCGTCCCTGTTCGAGGACTACGTCAACAACCTGCCCTTTTGGCTCAGCGACCTCGAGACGGACATCCGCAAGGACCCGCAGAGGGCCTTTGAGGAGGAGGAGCAGCGGCGGGCCCAGCGGGCCGACGATGTCAATGCCGTCGGCAGCCTGATAGGCGGCACGCGCACCAGCTCGTACAAGGCGGCCCAGAGCTCGCCACTGGGCAAGTCGTACCTGGCGGAGCGGATGGCGGCTGACTCGAGAGCGTCGCTGTCGCGGTCCATCAGCAGGCACGTCGCGGGCGAGGAGGAAGGCGAGCCGAGCGGCGGGCAACAGCAGCAGCCGCAGCAGCAGCCGCAGCAGCAGCCGGCGGACGGCCGAGGCTATGGCGCCCTGTCCTCTGTGCTTCCCGGCCTCTCTCTCTCCAAGTACGCGCGGGCCAAGCGGGCGCAAAAGGCGCAGCTGCCCGAGGGCGTGGTGGAGCCGACGCAGTGGATCAAGAACATGGGGGAGCTCAAGATTGAGCCCAAGGTGTGGCTGGCCAACGAGCGCACCTTTCTCAAGTGGCAGCATATTTGCATCCTGCAGGGGAGCCTGGCCGTCGGGCTGTACACGGCGGCGGGCGACGACACGACGGCGCAGGTCATGGGCATCATGTACGTTGCCATTGCGGCGTTTGCGGGCCTCTGGGGATACTTGATGCTGCACATGCGGCGCAACATGATTGTGGAGCGGAGCGGCAAGCACTTTGACAACATGTTTGGGCCGCTTGTCATGAGCGTGACGCTGATGGCGGCTCTGGTCATCAACTTTGTCCTGCAGGTGAGTGACGACGACGAAGAAGAACTGGCACCGTGGAACTGGTTGATGCTAACAGGCTGGCGGGCAGTACCAAAAGGTGTTTGCAAAGCCGGGCAAGGGGAACGGAGGCGGCTTGATGACGTCGGATGAGCTGTAATGAAGGTGAGCCGGGGGGGTTTGATGGGTTGGAAGAGATATGCATCGAGGGAGAGGAGTTGACATGAGCATTGTAAGTTATACATAGGTGAAGCGTGCTGTGGACTGTTGGATGGGATGGATGGATTTTCCCATGCTCCCCTTTTCTCTTGCTACTATAATCTTCGTCACGTTGGAGCGCGTCTCTTGTCTTTTCGCGCCATCATGTCGGAAACTATTGGGGTTTTACAGTAATATCACCATGTAAGGCCCCCAGTTGTCACGACAGAAGGTGCAGAAGAACTGAATTGTGATGGAACACGTAGTGTTGGTAGCTGCGGTTCCTTGCAGGCCCGAGTACATGCAGTGCCCTCGTGCCGTGCGGAGAGTTGTTTGCCCAGCCCACGGACGGAACAGCAGAGACAATTCTCTAAACAGATACACTGTGATTGGGGTTTGCAAACTATTCCATCTGATCCCGGCTACGCTGGTCTTTTTTGTCGCACAGCCGACGCGTCCCGTCTCTTTATTTGTCCATCGCCCAATCCTGGTCTCTGCTGTCCTCCATCGCACAGCAAGAGAAAGAAAGCGAGCGCATACATCATCAACGTCCATCGAAAGCATTCGGAACCGTTTTGGGGGGAGACGCCCGCCACCAAAAAAAAACCGCTTGGTCGGGGGTTTGGCGGGCCCAAAATCACCCGCCCTCTCGTCGTTTGCGTTTTCCCTACTTTTACTTTTTCTTAACCTCAGTCGCCGGGCCAGACGTTCGGAAGCAGAGGATGCAGGAGAAAGAAGGGAAGAAGAAGAAGAGCGGCGGGTTCCTGGGAGGGCTGCTGCGCAACCGCAGCCTGGCAATCCGACGAGGGTCCCGGGCCACAGTCGACGATGAAGACACGTCGCGCGATGGTGCTGACTCGTCAAAGGGGACACGTTCAAGAAACGGCGACGACGACGACGCCACCGCTCCGCGCAGAAGCCCGCATGGGCCCGCGCTAAAAGACCGTCCCCGCTCGCGTCGCCGGGCCAGACACCCCGATCACCCGGAGCCGGGGCCGGGGCCGGGGCTGGCATCGGGGCCGAGTTCCGGGTCGCCGGCCCACAAGACAGGGAGGAAGAGCAGTGGCAAGGGCAAGGGCAAGGCGGTTGAGGAAAGCGACAACGGCGATGCCGGCGGGTCTGCTTCCGCCTTGACGAGGAAGGGGAATGAGTGGCCGCCCCGAGGCATGCCAAGCGACGGCCATCTATCCCGGCAGCGCGCCCGGGAGCTCATCTGCCGCGGCGCGCCGACGCACAGGGGACGCCGACAAGCCGTCGCGCACGCACCAGACCACTGCCACGCCCTCTACGCCACGACGTCTTGCGCCGGCGGAGGCACTGACGCGGCCGGCCTGCACGACTCGATGACGCAGCTCATGACTCTGAGGCTGGCGGGTCGAGGCCCGGCCGAGCACCCGTGGGAGACGCTGGAACAGCCAAGCTACGGCTTCCACTTTGGCGAGCGCCCGGGGACCGTGACGCTGAACCACTGGGCGTCGATGGCGAGCGTGCTGCCGCCGGCGCTGACGCTGCGCGACCCGGGCGTCGAGCCGCGGACCATGGACCTGGCGCGTATCCTCGGCCGGCTCCAGGAGCTCGAGGCCGGGCTCGAGGACGACGACGAGGACTTGCTTTACCGTATCCTGTACCGGCGGATCCTGCGCGACCCGGACCGCTATGTGAGTCCACACCGGACGCTGGACCGGCAGATGACGGACCTGATCTTGGTGCTGTCGCGGCCCGGCTGGATCGACTTTACCGACCCGGAGAACCAGGTGCCGACGCGCTTCCTCCTCGCCGACCACGAGGGCACGTACCGCCGCTTCCTGCACCAGCTGCTCCTCAGCCTCGAGCTCGAGCTGCGCATCAACGCGCCCCAGCACGGCGACTATGCCAAGGAGAAGCTGCTGCGGCAGATACCGCCGACGATCCAGTGGGGGCTCGCGCTGGCCCGGCGCTGGCGGGAGCACGTGCGGGTCGAGGCGTACGGCACGACGCCGAAGCAGAGTGCGTTCCTCTTCCTTCTATGTCTTCTGTCGTTGTGTTTATTGCTTGAACGCTAATGACGAGAGGGGAGGGGGAGTAGCCAGATTGAGATACAAGCTCAAGCGACGCCAGGTCAAGATGCTGAGACGGTTCGCGCAGATGATCAAGTGGCCCAACCTGGGTGCGACGCTCGGCAGGCTCGCCCAGGTGGACGAAGAGGGGCGGCTCGATTCTCTCGGCGCCGATGCGTTTGCGTTTTTCAGCGGCCTTGTGCTACCTGGTGTAAGTAGGCCGTCTATACATGCATTGGATCGAGAGTGAGGATGGCTGGCTGACTCGAGCCTCCATCTGCAGCCCACATTCCCCTTTCTCATCATGAACACGCTCATCGACATGGACCCGGATCGGGCAACAAACGACCTGGCGCGGCTTTCGGCGACAACAGCGTCGACTTCGAGCCAGCACTGCGGCTTCCAGTACCGCAGCAGCCACACGTACTGGTCGGCGGGCTGCATCGTCGGCAAGGTGCTGGCGCCGACGTGCCGCGGCGTGGCCGGGTGGGTGGGGCCGGGCCGGCCGACGGCGGACCTCGGGCGGACGCAGACGGTGCGCATCCGGAGCCGGCGGCCGCGGGACCGGGGCAAGGGGATGGCCGCCGCCGACGTGGAGAGCATGGAGGAGCGGTCGGATCCGCTGGGGCCGGAGGCCGAGGCGTATCCCGTGGGCGACTACGAGCTGGCGGAGCCGCAGACGGAGAGCGGGTTTGTCGTTGACGCAGTGCGCATGGAGCTGCTGGGGTTCAAGCCCGTGATGGCGACGGGGACTACGAGCACGACGACGATGGATACGACGGCAACGGCATCCTCGGCAGTGGCGGCGTACGACGCCACGATCCAGTTCGCCATCGACGGCCTCTCGTGGCCGCTGCGGCTCATGTACGATGTCGACTTCGTCGCGGCCTGGCCGTGCTCCCACGGGCCGCACCCGCTCTTCTTCGACTACGTCTTCCGCACCGTCCGCGTAGACGAGGTTGTGCGCGTGCGGGACTGGGGCCGCGGAGGAGGACGGGGGCCATGGACGAACGGCAACGCACGCGCGGCCGACGACGAAGACGTGGACGACGAAGAGGTGCTGGTGGTGGAGGCGTTTGGCGTCCGCGACAATGAGGCGCTGGCGAGGGCGTGGTGCTCGCATTGGGGGCTGAGCGCCGTGGTGGCGGATGTCGACAGGACCTGGTAGGTGCTCTTGCTCCTTGTCTCTTCTTTTCCTTCAACTGACGTTGGGTTAGCTTGGCGTGTGCCATCAGAGAGGCATATTCCGCGACGCTGACGGTTGTCATCTTGGTCGACGACCGGCTTCGGGATGTGGAAGACGGGTGATGGGCGAGGGGATACCTCGACGCGGGCGGATGGCGGACGATACCGGGGAGGGGGCTGGACAAGATGTCAACTGGAGAGAAAGGCCAGACACGTCGATACTGCTCACTCTGTGGCGCACGAGCTTGTAAAGACGCGTTTGATATGATACCTGCAGAGTGGTAGGCCACTCCTGAATCTTTCAGCGGTACTCGACCATCGGTACAGAACTTGCACTCTTCAAGCGAACGGGAAATGCACAAACCCATAGCATCAAGACCTTTCGGGACGCTGTGACTACCCGGGCAATGAAGAAGCCATCCGATTGGGCATCTTCAAAGAGCCGCTGTGTCGACACTGCACCTCAGACCTATCATGCATATCCTAGCGCGCTTGAGTAGTTCACGACGAGCCTCTGCGTTATGTAAAGAAATAATAATCATATTTTGAATGGCAGCAGAGCTGAGAACGAATGCGAAGCGAGGATAGCCGCAGCTGAGGACGCCCGGACGCCGTCGTAGAAGCACCTGAGAGCCCGCATATCGGACGTCGCCCCTGAGCTGGAGTCACCGCCGAGAGGCTCTCCTAACAGGAATCGAGAGGAGAGGGCAGCGGGAGGTCCCCTTTATCAGCGGCGCAGCGGTGGTAGTCGCTCGCGCCGTATAGAGCGTCCTCTTTGGGAGCCTGTGGATGGGAGAATGTGTCAAAAGCGCAGACTGAGTCGACGGCATCCTCGTCGCGCGAAATATGCCATTCAGCGGCAGCCGCAGGAGTGGCGTGCCAGAAGCCGTCGACAAGTCGCGCTCGCACGTGGGTGTCCATGGAACTCAGCTTTGTTCGGCGCACTGGCTAGTCTGAATGGGACGTCATGGAGAGACCGTTGTCGAGGGCTGGGCCAGCCAGGGGCGCCAACGATGGGCTCAAGGTCCCGCGGGGGCTGGCCGAGTTGCGATGGTAGCTCGCTCTCCATGCACCAGCTAAGTATTGGTGCCAGCAAGCCCATGTCTCTTCCCGGCCGAAGTAGTAGAAGTGGTGACGCTCCTGGTGTACAAGTCTAGGAGGGCGAATGGGGTCGGCAAGTGGACGCCGCGCGTGTCGCAGAGCGCCGTCAAGCCGAGGATAATTGAGCCGTCTAAAAGGTCCACGTTGACTCCGGCGGCATTTCGAGCGGACCGCTGCTCCCCGGCTCCATGCCGTGGTACCACGCCGAGGCCCGTTATCGACACGGCCCCGGACATTCCTTGGACAGCTCCTGAATCACCTTGTTGCTGGCGGCCAGCAACGGGCGCCGCTTCGAGACGCACTTGCGAGTTGCTAAAATCCCCCCCCGATGAGATATCGATCCCCGGCCGAGCTCAGCAGCAGGCCCGGGACATGGACGTGGTGCCCGTCTGGATACAGACTCCGCACCCGGACTCGAGGCATTCTCGATGAGTACTGTCTCGGAACACCGCTTCGTATGCCTTTCTGCACTCGGCGTCCATCATGAATGGTTTCTATATCAGGACACTGCTTCGATTGCCCACGGCCCCAACCAGAATCGGCGGGAGTTAGTGTCGTTCGATTCAACTTTCGCAACGAGTCAGCTGCATCAGCCCCATTGAATCTCTAACACCTATACAACAGGTACATAGGCTCGTTAATGGGGTCACATCAAGTCACCAAGAGTGTTGTTTTTACTTATACATTACAAGGCCTTAATAGCCGCCTCTTTCTAGCTGGGGACGGCGCGATATTTCTTCCTACATGTATGTGCCTACCCTATACTATTCCACTGTGCTCTCTAACGTCTGTTTGAGAGCTACTCAGCCACTTATTTTTAGGGTAGACATAGCATAGGGGACATGTATGAAGCTGGAGCTCTAGCGTGACCGAGATCATGCAAAGCGAAAGGGTGAGGCCTGGAGATGGGAGTGGTTGCTCCGCGGCAAGATTTCCCTTGCCTTGGGACAGGTCATCTATGTCTGGCCTTGTTTTCCTGCTGGCGGCGGTCTCGGACTGTCGACGTTTCTGAGTTGCACCACGCTAGTACGAAGCAACCAAGAGTATTTTAAAATAGAAGTGCATGACCAAATGAGCTTTACGGCTCACCCTTGGATCGGGACGTTGAGATGGCCTTGACTACTGATCCCTGCCTCCCCTTGATCTGATGCTCTGGCGCGCTGGGAGCGTCAGAAGTTGTACTGACGGTCTCATCAAGAAATGGAGTGTCTTGTCCTATTCCCGGAACTGGGAACAAGTAGTTGAGAAGCCAGAAGATGAAACAGCCAATGGCTAGGCCGACGAGGAAAGTCAAGTTATAGAGACGGATCCAGTGGGTAAAGCTTGGGGAAGTATACCCGTTGACAGTGCCAATCAAGCCAGCTGTCACGCAGTTAGCATTCTTCCTTCATGTTGTGAGAAAACTCATTACGTACGGATAAGTGGCCACATGCCGGCGATGAAGGCCATAGGGGCTCGCCAGTTGAATCCGTCATTGAACCAATATATGGAAGTATCATTTCCGACGTATAGATCGTTGAGCTTTAGCCGGCGTCTTCGGACAATGTGGTAGTCGGCAAGCATTATCCCTCTGTTTCAAGTCTGGTGAGTCCACAACTGCCTATTACGGAAATAAGGCAACCTACGTTGCTGGTGCCAAAAAGACCCCGAAGCCACTTATAACCGCTAGGAACTTGTTAGCCGTAGCTAGAATCTGCCATGGCCTGCATTTGTTAGCTTAGTTAGCTCGCCGAGAAGAATTTGAACTGACTGTGTTGCAATTCCGACGACAGCCATGATGTATCCGCTGCGTCTTATATTTAGATACTTGGGCTAAAGACCTGCAATATCCATGCCTGTACTTATAGAAATCATGACAATCGAGACCTAGACTTGGCGTTAGCATTGTCATCCTACTCAATCATCACGGAAAACGTCTCTGACCGAGAGCTGCGAGGCGATAAGGCCTAGGCTGGCGAAAAAGACGCCAGCACGAGAGCCCGGACTTGACTGATAGTAGTCCTGGATGTCGGCCAGAAGATAGATTGGATTCCACTGAATCCCGCCTTTGAGAACGTCTCGCGATGCGCTAGTAACGATGATGCCTATGATGGCGGTTGCGGAAATCGTAGCAGGTGATGCGAGAACCTGGGATATCGTTGGTGCGTACTTTCGGCTGGCATATCTCGTCCAATCTGACTGTCCTATGGTGCCGCCCCCCCACGCGCCTAGAATGGCCGTGATTCCAAACAGAAAGTCCCAACCCACACTTTTTGTTGTACCAGGCTGATAGAACATCTCCCCTGGCCCATACACCCGGGAGACGCTCCTAGGTTGAAAAAAGGCGGCTAAGCAGAACGTCTCGTAGAGTCTGGGGAAATAGACACTTTATGACGCTTGGCTTACCATATAAGGAGTCCGAAGCAAGAGCCGCAAAAGAGCAGGAAGCAGGCAACAAAGGCGAATTGTAATTTCTCTGGTTTTATGAGGACGCCCGGTATGAAAAGACATAACCAGACGATCAGTCCAATGAAGTCATTGGTCTGCAGATGAGTGCTTGGATTAAAGTAGTTCGGCAGATGCGCAAAGGCTACTCTATGTTAGTAAAGAAAGAGTCGCATTGGCGGTACCGGGTGGGAAGACCGTACTGGGAGAGATGGCCCCGATGGCCACTCGTGTTGCCTGGCCACCCCAGAGCGCCTGGAGTCCGAACCATATCGAGCCGGTGAATATACGGAGAATGACGGGGACTTTTGGGCCTGGGTCACCAGAGGCTCATCAAGACGATGGAAAGGAGGCTGCCATACAGTACGAGCCTCGCATGCCCCAGGAAAACCGGCTGGATACGGTGAAGCCGATGTGGTGGTTTTCCCCCATCCACCCACAAGCGACGGCCAACAGGCCAGTGATGATGCCGCCAACGACCTCGACGTTTCCATGCCCTGTCAGCCGCGTCCCTCAACGAACACAACGGTACGTGACACGTACCACGGCGCCGATGGCCTGTGGGGGGCTGAGGCCGAAGGCGAGAAGCGTGCTGCCCGTCGACCATGCCGAGAGGCACGATCCGGCGACGGTCCAGTAGCCTGCCAGTTGAGCCGTCGTGCCAGTCGAGGCGGGCTGGAAGCCCCAACGTACCAAGATAGGACCATACCCCAAAGGTGCGCCGGTCGGGGGGGATGGGGATCAGATCTCGGTTGCACCACGTGGTGTTTTCATAGCTGGCGTCGTCGTCCTTGGGGCTGTATACTCGGGTAGCTGACCATCTAGACCATGGCTATGGTTCGAGGGGGCACTACCATTGAAGCTTTCGCTTTACTGTTTCCCAGCCCGAACCCATGGTGCGGGCTTCTTTTGCTAGCCAGTGGCTTGGGAAAGAGGATGAAGGACGAGAGTTGGATGCCGAGCGGGGATCGTGTACATACATAAATGGCACTTATGGCATCCCCTTGCGTGACACTGACGCGGATCGAGCAAGGCATGGCAGACGCCACGCTCTTTGATTTGCCAGCAGAGCTCAACAGGATAGATGCGTTGGCAGGTTTAGCCGGAGTACTCGTATATCAAAACACCTACCTGCGTCATCCCGAGTACAGCATGAGTGCGGTTGGCAGTGCCCATCTGCAGCTCTACGGCGCTGCGACGAGAACGAGACATGTTTCTCCTCCCTACGTGCCCAAGGCCACCAACTAAGAGTAAGTGGTAGCAGAACACGCGGTATTGAATTATAAGCTAGGCTGGCCAGGGAGCATCCTCCAAGTCATAATAATAAGGAGCAAGCCGGTCACTCGTGGCCTATGGGGCCTATGGGATGGAGAGCAGCTACCTACCTTATCTTATTATTGCAGATAGCACTCACGGCCGATCAAGCGCTGCTACCCACCGTGCTTTGCTGCTACGGGGCCGCCACCGGCTTGCCCCCCGTGACGATTTAGGGCCTGATACCTGATAGGCACTTAGTTAACCAACTACAGCGGCGGATGCTTGCGGCCGAGGACATGTGCTGCCGGCGGCAACCGGACCGGCGCTGCATGTACCGGTACCCTGGCGCCCGGGCCGACGGCCCCTCAGCCGCCGAAACAGGCAATAGACTGTCCGGCTTGGCCGTGAACGGCCCAAAGATGGGCACCATTGCACGGCTAGTGGAGCGAAGGGCTTGTACAAATACTCGGCAGGATATGCGTAACCGTGTGGCATGTGCAGAGCGCGGCCGGCCTTGAAGGTGCTGCTGACGTCGCCTTGCCCCCTCCCCGTCCTGCCGCTCTCGCTTCCAACTGGTCGACGTCGACACCATCACGGAACGCCGCGATACGCATCTTCGTCGAGCTTACTGTGCATGCTACCGGCCCGTCACCCAAAGCTTCCAGACCCCGACCCCTGCGCGTGTGCAGCCGCGGCCCCGTCAGCCGTCATGTATGCATACAATAAGCCCATCAAGGCCATGCAGTGAGTCGCTCCCTCCCCCATTCCTCCATCCACTGTCTCTCCTTGTCTCGCGCGCCCACCATGGAGATTCTCGACGCCAGAACCATCACTGACGGATTGCCCCCCACGAGCAGGCCGCCCAACATCTTGGTAAATGCGTCCCCGAATCTGAGCCGGCGCTCCGTTAGATACGCGTCACCAAGGCGTCGGAGAGCTGCCGTAGCTGACGCCCGTGCCCCCCCCAGGACTACTACATCGGAGTCGACGTCGGGACCGGCTCCGCTCGCGCCTGCATCATCGACGAGACGGGCGACATCAAGGCATTGGCCTCGGAGAACATCAAGCTGTGGCAGCCCGAGACGGGCTACTATGTACGGGCCGACCCCCACGGCGGTGCCGGCGAGCGGGAGCTGACGGGCGAGCTCAGGAACAATCAACCACGGACATCTGGCAGTGCATCTGCGAGTGCGTCCGCCGCGTCGTCAGCGAGTCCAATGTAGACCCATCGAGGATCAAGGGCATCGGCTTCGACGCCACCTGCTCCCTCGCCGTCTTCACTGACGACACCGACGAGCCCATGCCCGTCACCGGCCCCGACTTTGCCAACGACGGCCACGACCGCAACGTCATCCTCTGGCTCGACCACCGCCCCGTCGCCGAGACGGAAAAGATCAACAGCACCAAGCACAAGCTGCTCAAGTACGTCGGCGGCCAGATGAGCATCGAGATGGAGATCCCCAAGGTCCTCTGGCTCAAGAACAATATGCCCGCCGACCTCTTTGCTCGTTGCAAGTTTTACGACTTGGCCGATGCCCTCACTCACCTGGCCACGGGAAACGAGACGCGCAGCTTCTGCAGCACCGTCTGCAAGCAGGGATACGTGCCCCTTGGCGTCGACGGCAGCGAAAAGGGCTGGCAGCAAGACTTTTTCGAGTCGATTGGCCTTGCCGATCTCTCAAAGAACAACTTTGAGAGGATGGGTGGCGTCAACGGCCTGGTAGGTCCTCCGTTCCTCTCCTCGTCTCCCACCTTGTCCGATGTGCTGACCCCTCTTCAGAACGGCTCCTACTACAGCGCCGGCGAGTGTGTCGGCACCCTCAGCCGCCAAGCCGCCTACCAGCTTGGTCTCCCCATGGGCATCGCCGTCGGTAGCGGTGTTATCGATGCCTACGCCGGCTGGATAGGCACCGTTGGCGCAAAGGTCGACCTCGGCAGCGACGAGCTCAACGACAGCGTCCCCCACAACGACCTGTCCCAGGCCTTTACCCGCCTGGCCGCCGTTGCCGGCACCTCGACCTGCCACCTTGCCATGTCCAAGGACCCCGTCTTCGTACCCGGTGTCTGGGGCCCCTACCGAGACGTCTTGCTGCCCGACTACTGGCTTGCCGAGGGCGGCCAGTCGGCCACGGGCGAGCTCCTGCGACACATGCTCGATATCCACCCGGCATACAACGAGACGTGCGCGCTGGCCAAGGCCGAAGACAGGCACATCTACGACTTCCTCAACGCCCACCTCCAGTACATGGTGGAGAAGCAGCACGCGCCCGGCATCCCCTACCTCGCCCGCCACCTCTTCTTCTACGGCGACCTCTGGGGCAACCGGTCCCCAATCGCCGACCCCAGCATGAAGGGCGCCATGATTGGCATTGACAGCGACAAGAGCACCGATAACATGGCGCTGTGGTACTATGCTACCATGGAGTTCATCGCCATGCAGACGCGGCAGATTGTCGAGCAGATGAACAAGGCCGGCCACGAGCTCTCGTCTATTTTCATGTCGGGCTCTCAGTGCCAGAACCCGGTGCTCATGAGCCTGATGGCGACGACGTGCAGCATGCCCGTGCTGATTCCCCGCTACGTCCACGCCGCCGTCGTCCACGGCGCGGCCATGCTGGGTGCCAAGGCGGCCAGCCACAACACCGAGGACCCGGACGCGGAGCCCGAGACGCTGTGGAGCATCATGGACCGCATGAGCAAGCGGGGGCGGCTGATTGAGCCCAACGACGACCCGGGCGAGAAGGCGCTGCTGGATGCCAAGTACGAGGTTTTCCTCGAGATGTGCAGCTCGCAGCAGACGTACCGCAAAAGGGTGAACAGGGCCGTTGAGAAGTGGAGTGGCGAGTTTGGCGGCGACGTGTGAGGGCTCTGTCGGAGACGGTGGCATCGGACGGCTGAGGACGATGTTCTGAGCTGGACTCAACGAGGCATCAGGCAGGACTCGAGATCGGTTAAGATGACGAGCATAAGCCCGCAAGCAAGCATCTAATTGTAATGGGCCGTCGGGAGGCACATTGGATCTAGGTACCTCCGGGATGACGCGGGAGGCTTGATAGAGAGGCGCTGGCGGCTCCCAATGCTGCTAAGTCTCCGTGAATTCAATTGCCGCGAATTGACTTTTGGCGATGTGATGATGCTGTGTGGATGTGGGTCTTCTGAATGCTTTTGGGAGCTTCTGGTTGGCCCAGATGGCAGCCTCGCGGCGCGCTCATTGGCCCGACCGAGCTCAGCTACCGCTTTGTACCGCCAGCCTCGTCGACTCCAAATTTCTTGGGGGCAGACGCGCATCTCACCACCATCACCGCAAAACTGCCCACGCGCGCCGCGGCAAAAGTCCCTCCTTTCCTCCAGCCGCTCGCTCGCCGACACCTTTTCGTTCTCTTCCTCCCCTTCGACCATGTCTCTCTTTGGGCAGTCGGCGACCGCGGGCGGGACGTCGCCGTTCGGCCAGCAGCAGAACAAGCCGGCAGCGACAGGCGGCCTGTTTGGACAGCCGGCGCAGAATCAGCAGGGCGCAACCACGGGCACCGGTGTGTTTGGGCGGCCGGCCGAGGGCGGAAATATGGGCAGTGGACTATTTGGACAATCAACTCAGAACCAGCAGCAGCAGCCGCCGCAAAGCGCCTTGGGCGGAGGGCTGTTTGGGCAGCCGGCCAAGGCTCAGCAACCTGCGACAGCTGGGAGCGGACTATTTGGACAGCCGGCGCAAAACCAACCGAGCGGGGCGACGACAATGGGTGGCGGGCTCTTTGGACAGACAGCCCAGAACCAGCAACAACAGCAACAACAACAGCAACAGCAACAGCAACAGCAACAGCCCTCCTCCCTCTTCGGCGGATCGACCCTCGTCGCCTCGACTGCCAGGCCGTCCATTTTCAGCACGGCTACGACCAATACAACCGCGCCGTCGCAACAAAGCAACAGCACGATGCTCGGCGCCAGCCTGCTCGGCGGCAGTCTCCTAGGAGCCACGGCTCAGAATGGTCCGTCCCAGCAAGCCCAGTCGCAGCAGCCGGCTGGCGCCTACTTTGACAGCCTCTTCGCCAAGACACAGAGAGAAGGGGGCGCCAAGACCAACGTGGAGGATCTCCCGAGCCTCGAGCTTGGCCTCGGCGACCTCCGCCACCGCCTGCGAAAGCTCCAGTCCAAGTCCAACGAGAAGCCCCTCGACGGCAAGGCGCATTACCTGCTGGCCGCCTCGGGCGTCGACCCCAGCACCGCTGCCAAAGACCTGGGCATGCTGGATGTACAGGGCGCCCGGGCCGAGCGCGCCCACGGCTACGCCCCGACCGAGATCGACGTCGAGACATACTTGTCCAATCTGCAGACCAAGACGACGCTGAGCATGATTGCCGACGGCCTTGAGCGGTCGATACGTGACTTTGACAGCTTTCTCGAGGACAACGTGGCCATGGAATGGGAGGCCCAGCGGAAGCGCATCTACCAGCACTTTGGCATCAAACCCCGAGACGATTCGACGGCGGCGGGCCGAGACGCCCAGGCCAGTGGCTTCGGCCGCTCGCGGCGCAGCAAGGGCCAGGGCGCTACCTCTCGCGCTGTCCGCAACAGCATGCTCGGCAACTCGATGATGCAGCGCTCCGTTATTGGCGCCCCGAGTCGCATCGGCGCCCACCAACCCGAGTTCTCCGACGTCGACCGCTCTGCCGACGGGCCCGGCGCCCTCAAGACCCGTGGCGCGACCGAGGACCGGGCTCTCCGCGAGAGGCAGGCCAAACTGGCGGAGAAGGTGCGCGCCCTCAATGCGGCGCGCTTGATGAGGCGCCCATACCCCATCTTGGCCGAGCTGGGAGAGGTCGAGCAGAAATCTCACGAGCCTCACGCGCCCCACGTGGTCGAGGCCTACCGCGCCACCATCCAGATTGTCGGCGAGGACCCGGATGCCGAGATGTCGCTCAACAATGCCACGGCAGGGGAGCGGCAGTTCGCCCAGATGTACCTGGACGAGAACCCTCACTCTGCCCAGTCTATCGAGATGAGGAAGCGAGTTCTGCACGGAAGCAACCACTTCCTGGAGAATCAGTTCCTGCGCGAGGTGGAATCGCTGATCGCTAAGCACCCTCACGAAGCCAAACTCGGCGGCCTTCCAGACATCACGAGCAAGATCAAGGCCTACATCCGCCTGCGCTCCGCCAGGAAGGATCTGGTACCTGACAACACCGAGCTCCAGCAGATTCAAGGCGAATACGTGTGGGCAGTCGTCTTTTACCTTCTCCGGTCCGGCCACGTCAATGAGGCGGCGCAGTACGTCAACGACAACAGCAGCCAGTTCAGGGGCATCGACCGCACGTTTGCGACGTACCTCAACAACTACGCGGCCAGCGAGGACCGGCGCATCACCAACCGGAAGCTGCTCGACCGCTGCACCAACGAGTACATCCAGCGTTCTCGCAACGCGCCCGACCACTCCATCGACCCCTTCCGGATGGCGTGCTACAAGGTCATTGGCCGAATCGAGCTGGGCAACCGCAACCTCGAAGGTCTCAACACGGACATCAACGACTGGATCTGGCTGCAGTTCAATCTGGCCAGGGAGGGAGACAAGACGGTCGAGATGGCCGGCGAGTCGTACGGCCTGGCGGAGCTGCAGGCCAGCATCCGGGAAATCGGTCTCAAGCACTTCCCCAAGGCAAACTCCGAGGACACCAGCAACGGCAGCTTCGGCATGTTCTTCTACCTGCAGATCCTGTCGGGCATGTTCGAGGACGCCGTGGCCTACCTCTACCCCTTTTCATACGTGGACGCCGTCCACTTCGGCCTGGCGCTCGAGTACTACGGCCTCCTGCGACCGAGCGACCCGCTATCTGCCTCCAACGACCTTCGCTGCTACAGCGTCAAGAACCTCCCACAAATCAACTTCGGCCGCATGATTGGCTACTACACGAGGGACTTTCGCGCAGCCGACGTGGTGTCTGCCGTGGACTACCTGGCCCTGATCTGCCTGAACCGAGACCTTGGTGGCGAGGCAGGGCAGCGCCAGGGCAGCCTGTGTCATGAGGCGCTGCGGGACCTGGTGCTGGAGACTCGCGAGTTCAGCAAGCTCATCGGAGACATCCGGCCCGACGGACGTGGCATCCGCGGCATCATCGAGGAACGCGGCCCGTTGATCGGCCTAGACGACGAGGACGACTTTGTCAACACCGTGACGCTGCAGGCCGCCAGCTTCGCTGACGAGAACGGCCGGACCACCGACTCAGTACTGTTGTATCACTTGGCAGGGGAGTACGATACAGTCGTAGCCATAGTCAGCCGCGCTCTCAGCGAGGCCATCTCGCTCGAGATTGGCGAGGACCCGATGCGCTTGGTCCCGGTTAAGCCGCGGGCGGGCGGTCAGGAGGCGGAGGTGCAGCAAGGAAGTAGCCTCAGCCTGGCAGCTATTGACGACCCTGTCGAGCTGGCCAGGACTATGATGGCCATGTACGAGCGGGACGCCATGTTCTACCGCAGGATCCAGCCCCAGAACAAGGTGGCCTGCCGGGTGCTGCTGGAGATGAGCAGCATCAAAAAGCTGGTGGAGATGAGTCGATGGGCTCAGGGCCTGGATGTAAGTTTCTCCCTCCCTTGGGGGTGTCCCGCAAATATCGACCAGGCGTATGGAAGAGAAGTGCTGACAGTGCTGCAGAAAATCCGTGGCCTCGAAATCCTTCCCCTGGACGCGGCCGGCGACGCCAGCACGATCCGGGCGTACGCGTCCAAGTTCTCGGGCCTGTCGCAGCCTGTGTCCATCAACGTGCCGAACCTGCTGATGTGGACCATCATATGCTGCGTGCGGCAGAGGGAGCAGCTCACAAACGGGCAGTTTAGTGGCAACGAGGGGACGAGGAGGATGATGGTGGAGCAGCTGAAGCAGATGACGCTGGATCTGACGACGTACACGAGCCAGCTGCGCTACCGATTCCCGCCGCATTTGCATGAAGCGCTGGCTAGGGCGTCGGCCGAGTGAGGAGAAAAGAGGTGATTTCCGTGCTGCACTCGGCTTTGCCATTCCCAAGATGCACGGCGTAGAGATTAGAGGGGGGGTTGTGTCTGTACTCGGGCGTGAAAGGTCACGAAAGGGTGGCTGATGTTGGACTTTCGCCGCAGCCCAGTGAGAGATCAATTGATGATGATTGAGGAAAAGTGTCAGGCTCTCTACGAGATCAAGGGGTGGGAAATCCAAGTCTACGTTTCTGGGATATGTGTCTCGAAACCCAGGATCCCTTCGCAAGGTGCCCTTTGTGCTTGTGCATGTGCGTTGAGCAGAGAATGAAGGCTTTCATCGTTAATTTCTTGGAAAGAGGCTTATTCTATTTGATAGTATCAAGGTAACATCACGACAACGCCTGTTAACCTTGCATGCTGGAGTGAACCATTTCAGCCATCTGAGGTTTCCCAGCATGTTTGTTTTTGCACGCTTGGAGAAACGTTCAATATTCTCCTATGTCACCTGTTCCGAAAAATGGTATTTGCCTATATCAAACCTTTTCCTGTGAGTTACGGCGGACAGCGAGGAAGATATACTGGGAAACAGTGATAATAAGTCAGGCCACCAACGACCATAGCACCCTCGCAACCACCACAAGTGCCATCTATCGGGTCAACCGCAGACACGACGCTGATGATCGGGACAGCAACGCCAGGATCAAAGGGAACACTAGGACGCCTCAACAGTTCCGGCACTGGACACTGGTGACGAAGATGACTAGAATGTCATGGGTGAAGCTGTTGGGCCTCAATCGGCCTTGGACACGGCGTCAGCGCCTCACAGCCAAACCCAACGCGGCCAACACAAGGGACACGAGATCAGCGACCAATATACTAGCAAACGCATGCTCTTTCGCAAGATCGCCAGCAAAAATGTCATAATCGACGCCGTTGTCGTGAGAGTCACCAAGGGCTGTAGGGACAGCCGGTAAGACCAGATACAAGCAAAGAAACACGGAAACAAACAATCATGGCCAGGACTATAGTCATTTCTTGCGTCTCTAGGGGCATCTACCTTCCTTGCAGCTCACCTTGGCTATGCATTCCGCGGAGTTGTATACCCACACGGCCACCAGAGGATCATGCAAAGTCTGGAGAGCCTTTGTTACCTAGATTCATCACGATTCTTCCACCTGGACATCGCAGAATACTAGCCTGAAAAAGGCGCAAGGTTCAACGCGCGGGATTACTGCGGCAACACTCCCTTCTATCTAGCCGTTATAAGGGGTCGAGAAAAAGTCGTAGTGATGTTAGTCAATGCCGGGCGAACGTGGACTTGGCAAACTAGAGCTGAGAGAACTAGAACCTGGGCATTTTCGCTTAGAAGTGCGGATATTTGGAAAAAATAGGGACTCTCAAAAGATTTGCGGTAGAATGTATTGAGATATGTGATGGGCCGTCTCTATTTAGGCCAGTTCGATTTCGGCTTCGTACGAGCTCTGTATCATAGTTATCCCCTTTAAGTGCCTCGGGTAAGAATTAGTGATTCCACCGGATATACAGAGAGTTGATCTAGGAGTGATTGAAACAACATCTTTCCTATAGAATGTTTTCACTATGCAATCGATTCTGTTAATCCCAAGTCTGGGTCGTGAACACCACCTAACCTTTTCGTACCAGGTAGCACCGAATGCTGTTGGTGAGATGCACAATGCTTCGCCAGTTCACCGGGGGCCGTCTAGTAGCTTGATTGGGCCCTCTTTCGCAGCCTGGCGCCAAAGAACCACAGGATCAGAGGAGTCGGGACCCCGAACACGAGCCCCGCAAAGGCGAGAGTGCTGTTGCCCCAGCCGTATCCGAGAGCGTCATACATGCTTGGGGCAAAGAGCGGGAAGAGAAATGCCGTTAAGCTCTCGAGAAATTGCGAGGCGGCGAGAGCACTGCCGGTATGATCGGGATATGAGTCCATGACGTAGGCCTTCAGCGGCAAGCCCATGAGCTGCATGCCAAACATTGACATGAAGATGCCCACATCGACCGCGAGCCAATGGACATGATATTGCGCGGCCCATCCGTACACGAACAGACCAAGGCAAGAGATGATGGCTCCCGGGAAAATCAGCGGGACACGAAACTCGGGTAGATGCTCAGGAGACCTGGCAAGCTTGCGACGATACGACCAGTCAATCAGGGGGCCACCAATCTGCGCACCTACAAGCTCGCCGAGGGCACAAGCAATATAGTGCATGCCGCTCAGTTCCACAGACATTCGGTATTGCGATACCCAAAGGTGGGCAAAGGAGGTCAGGACGATGTAGAGGATGCCGTAGTTAAAGGCAGCGATGACGGCGCAGACCTGAATGATCGGATGGGTGGCCAGCAAGCGGAGCGGACGAGAGAGGGCACGGAAGAGGGTCGCCGGGAGTGATTTCTGGCGGTGCAAACGCTCTTCGAGTGTTTGATACCCTTCATGCGGACGTCCTGCCTGTCGACGAAGGTGCTCAGCCCGTCGCTTGAGGATGACTGGTACATAGGTCTCGCGGAATGTCGTAAAGCAAAAGATTATCATAACCGCCTGAAAGATTGAAGTCGACCAAAACATCCATCGCCAACTCGCATGAGCAGTTATGACGCCGCCAAGGATGGGCCCGGCAGCAACAGCAATCAAGGGGATTGCCAAATACCAGCCCAAAGATTGCCCACGCTCCTCGGGCCCCCATACGTCCCCCAAAACGCCCCCGGCGAGCGCATAAATGGAACTTGCCCCGAAGCCAGCAAGGAAACGAGCAGCTATCAAGAATCGCTTGGAATTCGCAAAGCCACAAGTGATATTCCAGACCAGGAACCAGATGTTGGAAGCGTGCAATACAACTTGTCTGCCGTAGACCTCGGTCAATGGGCCGATAAATAGAGGCCCGAAGGCGGTGGCAAGCACATAGATGGACAGTGCCATGGCCGCCTCGGCGGAGCTCATGTCGAATTCCGAGGCGATAATGGGCAACGCGGGTGCCATAATAGTCGACACGAGGATGCGGTTGAAGCCCGAGGCCGACAAGACGTTTGTCACGGCCCATTTGCGCCTTCGAGGCCATTGCTTTGGGTTCGAGGCATCGAAGGGCTCGTTGAAAGCAACGACCAAGGTTCCATGCTGCGACCTGTCGGCACCGGCCTCGTCGGCTTTGCTTGACACCGGAACGGGATGACTCTCGACCTCGGCGGTAGTGACGGGCAGCGCTGTTGTCATTGATGAGACTTGGTCACGACTGGTAATGGCCATGTTGAAACCGTGGACAGTTGAGCGTCGAAATCTGTAACAAGACGTTTAAATGTAGCTGGCGTCAGCGTTGAACCCTGGCAAAAACGCTTCAGGTGTACGATGAACAAGATGGAAGATCAGTTCAGGAAACCGGGCGGAACTCCGGGGAGGCCCATACCCTGGCCAGGCTCTGAGATATCGGACGGCCGAACGGACTCCGAATCGACGCCGCTCACGCCCGTCTTACACCAGCCAAATCCTTCGCGCTTCGAGCATGTTAGATCGCATTGAGACCTTGTAGTCATCCGGAGGGCCTTACCGCATGGGGCCTTTTGGGACATCGCCGAGCCAATCGAAGCCTTGGGCCGTCTCTTCACTGCATTCCTACACGTGCATCACGGCGAATGCATTGGACTTGAGACTCGATATAATCGACCAAGTTTTCCAGAGGAAGAATCTAGAGCGTATGTCGACCCCGGTGCACATATCATTCGAATCTGACGTAGGAGCCAAGTACGCCCACTATGGCTCGAGCCACTGTTAAACGGCAAGCCATCGTCAGTATCCGGTCCGACCTGCTCCAATTCCGCCTGTAAGGCTGTCCTCTGGTCCATCTAGCGGTAAGCGTCGTGGAGCCGCTGCAAGCAGTGCACAGGTTCAAAGCCGATGGTTCGGCAGACCCTGCCTGCTCCCTTCGCCGTGCTCTTGAAACAGTCATTGGAGTCGTAGTCGTCAATCACATAGATATTGGGGCTACTGGAAACGGCCGAGAAGCTCGAGGATGAACTGGCAAATAGGCTTTCCGTTACCTGGTTTGTGACAAACCCCCTCTCCCGTAAGCGCATCGCCATTGCTAAGCCCCTGCTGGCCCACTTGTCGTTTGAAGCCTTCATCGCCACGGGTACCGAACTGGTTGCGATGGACGGTCAGGGTTCATGAGCAGAGGATGACCACGGCCTATACGCTCATCTGCGGAAGCTCTTCACCACCATGGACATGGACATAGATGCCAAGTTCAAGCTCAGGCTCGAGCAAGCCGTCATCGACTCCGGGGCATACGAGATCATGATCGATAGTGAACCCCACGCCAACTTGGTGGCCGAGGTGTGCCGTGACTTGGGTCTCCCGACACCTGGACCAGAGGCAGCTGAGCAACGGCGCGTTTCTGGCCTAGACAATCTTCAGCGTCATCTTGGGCTCTCGGCGCCGCCATTTGAGTTTCCTCTCATCGCCAAGCCCATCATTGGCACCAGGATCATGTGCGTTTCCGAAGTCTCCAACGTCGACGAGCTCGGTACGGCTGTCGAAAAGGACGGCCAAATCGTCATGGGACATCAAGACACTCTTCCTATCGTCCTCGAGGCCTTGATCGAGCCTTTCGCGAGATCCATACGAGCCTCGTCAATTGTGAGGATGTGCTGCTGTTTGACGACATCTTCGACTATTTTCCAAGCCCGGCCCAAAGGCCAAACATCACGATCAAGGACGACGTTCGGAAACCCATGTTTGCCTTCCCGTCCAAGCTCCCATCGCGTGAGCAAGTCGCTATTCGGAGCTCGCTACATCATACAATCTTAGGAATAGTCTTCCTTTCTAGCGTATTCCATGTCGAAGCTCGCGTGTAAATCTCCTCCATGCACTACACACAGCTGAAAGGTAGCTTGGTCGAGCTTGTGTATCTACTTTCGCCGCCTGAAAGAGCCCGGCGTCTTTCTGATCAAGGTAGATCCGCGACCTCCAGGGTGCACTGGATCCATGACGGCTTCTTACACGTACGACATTGGCTACTTTGTTCTTTGGGTATTGGAGGTCCCAGGTGACGAAGCCCGCTTCAAGGCTCTCTACCGTCCATTCCTCAATGGCATTACACGAGCGCCTTGGTCAGCATCGAGCCCGAAAGAGGTGGAACATCGATGTCTGAAGACTCTGCAATTACTTTGCGCCACTCCAGCGCGGATCTCATGGAGATAGTTCCCTTCCATCGCGAGGTCTGTTGCAAAGGAGGCGAGATTCTTGATCCAAAAAGGGTCCCGGCTTATCCTACATCAGCTGCATATTTACAAGACCAGACTCAGACATGGCCACGAGGTATAAATTACTGGAGGCTTATTCTCGATGAGGCATGGCCAACACGTTTCGGTCCACGTGAGACGAGTTGACCATGATGTTCAGGTACTTAACACGGCCAGCACCATGTAGATTTGAACAAAAGGCCGTCGAAGACTTAAAAGACAAAGCTCGGCCGGCCCATCTGTCGAGGTCCAAGGCTCTTGGACGAAGCTTTCTGGAGCCTCGCCTCACCGTAATGCGGCATCTTTTTCTTAATCAAGTGCTCAGAACTCGAGGGGCCGAGGTCATACTCGGGGCACAAAGATTGCCAAGTCTCCGTCGAAAGCGACAAGGAAAGGATAGTGGATGTCAAACTTTGGTTAAAGCGATGCTGCTGGAGAGAAAGCGTCGGCATGAATTTAGGCCGTGTTACAAAAGGGGGCAAAATAGGTAGGAGTAAGGACTGTGAGGGGGTGAAACCAGGATGGAGAGATCAAGAGGAGTTCAATACAGTACTGGCCGTACGATTAGTCTTCGTTCCGCCATATCCACTGCAAGCCCAGAAATATGAGGTCACGTCATCTGCATCGCATGATACATTTTTAAGTATCAATATATGTGGATTTCGGATCCATCGGCGGAGGGTGACTGCGCGGCGGCAGCTTGATTAACAACTCGAGACGGACCGTCCTCGTTATGACGACAAGGAATGTCTGATTCTACTTTTGCGATGGTATGGACGCATGGGCCTCGTAATGGTAATAGAAATTTGGATAGCTTCATCCGCAAACCTAGTGACTTGCCTCGGCTGGCAGTCTGGGCTTCCTTACGGCCTTGCGGGATAGGGGTCAATGTGCAACGAATACGTCCGATATTGCTCTTGGTGTGTGCCTTGACCTCCGTACCGAGCTTGATGCCGTTTTCGAAGCCTGCATTCCCCGAGGCAAAGATGCCATAGCCATCAGAATGTACAATATATTACCTCCAGCCACACTCAAGCGTCGCCTCAAAATGCTCGGCGTCATAGCAAAGCCCAATAGCACCAAACCATTGTCGTCGGCGGCCAGCTGGAACTTGTCCAGGGCGTCAAGGAAAGCTTGTTCATCGCCGTCCTGACTGCCCATGCGAGCATCTCAGATCTCCAGCGCCGGCATTGAGAACATGATTAATTGAGTTTAGAGACTTGGGAGCGATGTGCAGGAATAGCACCATTTGCCTGTCGGAGAATTGTTGGATGTCTCAATTAAGCTGATGAGCAAAGGCGCATTGAGTGGACGATGTTACTCAAACGCTACTAACATCTTTGCTATAGTTCGCCATTTAATCCCAAGAAGGTTACGTTCATAGAGTCGATGAAGTAGAAGGTGTGGGAAGCGTTGCTACCATCCTGGCTTGCTCTTTACTGGGTATCCGACACGAGGCTCCCTAAAGAAGCCCGCCGGAGGATAGCATGGTCCAAATGTCCGCAGCGAGGCGGAAGAGACTCGAGCCGGGGCCGGATGGGAATGTGTGCAGAGTTTTCTCCGACTTTCCTCGATGTTGGCTAGAAGACACGATGACCACGATCGAAATATTATAAATTAGAAAGCGTTGTTGGGCCCACGAAACCGGGGGCGCATTTAACAGTGAGGGGCAATAGGCCGCGGAAGTAACTATAGGCCAATGAAACTCCTATCCCTGCGACGCGACCTGGATGTAAGACTGACCAACTATTACTCTTTCTGCTCTTGCAGTCCTCAGGCGCTTCGTTTATCTTCTTCCATCTTAGAAACTGAAGACTAGAAAGAATTCTGTTTCTTAAGTCAATACCCTCAAAAGGAATGCATGTAGTCCCAAGGTGGCCTAAAAGATGGCGTTAAAAACCCACCTCTCCACCCCTACTTGTCTAGTTCTTTTGCGCAACACCACTATATATGTTACATTTTTACCAGTTCCTATGGCGGGCTCAGGGTTTCTACCAGCTCCATTGTGTGGATTAGGAAGGTAGATCTCATGAAAACAATGCGAATAGCATGGATACGTAGCAGGGTGGAGAGAAAATACGATCTTGGCACCCGCGCTCCAGCCGATCGCAGGCGGCGGAGGGGGTCGCGATAGAGTCACTCCCGGTGTGCTTGGGAGGACCCATATACCTATGTCACGGAAGTGGTTCTGAGCACATTATCCCACATTCTCTTCCCCCTCTTCAAATGGATCGAATCGAGGAAGACACAGGAGATTTCTCTTTACCGCGCAGGCCAAACCGTCCGAGGTGGGGATGGTGCTCCCGGCCTGATTAGCTGAAGAGGATGCTGGCACATAAGACAGAGCCATTGGGGACTTCCGGAGCGTCTTAAGGCCCTGGGAACGATAACATGCTCAGCTTTCACCGTCGCTAAACTCCGCCTCGGACCTGCCTAGCGCCCTATCCTTTGATCCGCGGCGGCTCCAACAGGAGACAGCGGCCGTCGAACTTCGCATCGGCCAGGGGCATCGTGCCGCCGACCTAGGGAAATATCGCCTTCGAGCTGTCGACTCTCCCTCACGCTTTGTACGCGCTGCTCTCGCCCACTCAATTCTGACTCGCCGGGGCTCCATGATCATCGACTTCGATGTGTAGTGCTTCAATGAGTGACTTGCACTCTGGCTACTTATAGATAGCGTTGTCGACTTCATAGACCATCAACAAATAACGTGTCACTGGTTAGCATTTCGGCAACTGCCCCCTGGCTAATGCGGTGGAGGCCGATTGCGCTGAATTAAAAGCACACTCGGCATCGGCTTGCGGCTCCTCGCCCCTGCGCAGCTCGGAGGTAGCATCGCGGCATATTCCGAACAACCCCGGCTATCTATGCCGTGGTGGGTTACTACTCACCCAGCGGTCAATGCATAGTGCTAAGAAAAGTGAACCCCGCTATCAAAGCTGCGGCAAGTTCACACGCGTAGCTTTCTGCTGTCAACGTATCCTCAAAGCTGTGGGGGAGGCCAGCAGCGATAGCAATGAGGCAAACGCTGCCTAAGAGACTCGCGCCGATCAATATCAGAAGGTACCAGATAGGCCACCCATCAACTAGTAGGAACCCTAGGGTTCTTAGGATTCGTGGGAGCACTATAGCTGGTGCGTCTCGGGAAAGCTGGAATATCTGATGGTATCGCAGTGAAGAGTTTGCCCTTGCGGAGAAAAAACCAGCAAGCTAGTAAAGTACCATTACACCAAGCAAAGTAAGGGCATCCCCAATGGAGATGTTATTATCGCGTATTACAAGGCTTTCATTGTCTTGACAGAAACATATTCCCCGAAGCCGCCTCAAAAGAGGCTTCACATGGTCTAATTCCGGCGGAATTTCCTCGAATGGAGGGAGCCAAATCCACATTTTCCGCTTCTATTATATGCACCAAGCGTGACATTCGCATTGTCGTTATAGTTGCCAGTATACCAAAAGCGCACCACGCATAAGTACCGGTCAGAATGCCTGCCGACGTGGTCACCAATCGAATCAAAGACGGAATCGGCCTAAGCAACTGGCGGCTACGAGCTGCACAAACGAAGTGACCTTTCTCTCCAACCAACAAGACATGTCTCTCTCCACGACAGCACCTTCCCGTATTAGGTGCCTCTCCAAAAATTTGACTGTGCGCCGCCTAACTTAGATAGGGGTGATAGACGAAGGTGAAGATTTTGAAGATTTTGAATGAAGGATGAATCAAATGAATTGAATTTTTTGGATCTTGATTCAAAATCTTCAAGCTCCAATTTTCGCGATTCAAGTTGGGTTTGGGCCAATTCAGGCCATTCATGAATGGTTTGAAGGGATCCCCTAAACGAAGTGAATTTGGTGTGTACCTGAGCGATTGCAAAGATGCCTCAAAACGCCAATAAGTAGTATATAGTTTTAAGTTATAGCCTTCTAAGAAGTCGATAATCCCGAATACTACAAAAATTAACTTACATAAATACTGATCCGCCTGTCCTAGGCAAATCGACTGAAAATAAGCACTTTCAAAGCTCTGCCGAATCCTCAAAATACGTCGGTACAACGCGTTCGAATCCGCCACTGTACACGGCTACACTCTTAGAGCCCCAATCCTCCGAAGCCTCCATTGTATCTAGACAGGGGGTTGATATCGCAGACTTATCGGCTTGGGATGCAGGAGGTTTGGGGGTAGGGGTTCGTGGGAGCCTCGGTGGGAGGAAGAGGTTGAGGAGGATTCTCGCCTGAACACAGATTAGCATATACCTACATATATAATGAGGGTATATCCATACATACCATCTTCCAGCTTGCCCGGAATGTGGTCTGGTCTCCAAATAATACTATTGGCAAAGGGCAGGATGTCATACTCCATGGCCGCCTTGATCAACGCCTGATCGATCTTATCTTCCTGAGTATAAGCACTCCGTAAAAGTGTTAGTACTGCACCGTATCTGCCTTCAAGGCGTGACGGCGGATACCGAATTCGTCTCTACAACCGCTGAAGAGGCGTTCCACGTCAACTTCAGAGCCAGAGACAGAGAGAAGATCACGCGCCGCCGCAGCCAAAAGTGGCCACTGACCTTGTGTTCTTTCCACCACTTCAGTAGGAAGTCTGGAGACTTTGCAATAGACTCGTCGAACTCTATTCGAGGAGCTGCAAGCCACCGTTCAAGCTCCGAAATAGGGATCGCCGCGCCCGTCTCCGCCTCCTCGCCTTCTTCATTTGGATGGCTCTCCATTGCGCAATGGAGACTCC